TGTCAAGCTGGCCAATGTGGTCTCTGATAAGGACGCTTGTGAGGAGACAAGCAGGTTCAGGGCTTATCAGCGTCTGCCCAGGTAGGTATTTAGTAGGCCTGTATCCAAGATGAGCAATCTTGTGTAAAAGTTGTGTTTGGCTGTGGGTCTTCTCTGTTATTATCAGTGGTAAAACCTAAAGCTGCAGCCACAAGATGGCTTTTCTGGATGGGGCCTCAGCCTTCTCAGGGGGTGAAGGCAGGTTTAATGCAAACCTGGCTTGGTACATCATAATCCAGAATAAGTCACCAAGACTGTTCTGCGTAATTGAGTAAAATGAGCCCTTAGGGCAAAATCTGGACTGACTTTTATTTTTCAGGTCCTTGTATTTTAGAAAGTTTATTTAATGTTAAAAATAATTAAAAGTAGAATTTCTTTTTCGTAGCATGCAGTCATCTCTAAAGTTTATTTTCAGCATGTTCATTGGTGTGAGAAGAAATGAAGCCAAGAATTACTAATACGTGGAATTGTAAAAAGAGGGAACGTTGACCAATTTTATTGCTTTGCTCCTCCCGTAATGGAAGCAGTTAGACAATTCAGTGTCTTGTAACTTTGTTTTGTCACAATTTTCCCACTCTCCAGGGTTCATCCCATCGACTGGGTTAATCCGAAATGAGAGCAGCATGAAGAGGTTTATGCTGACCAAGGTACTGTACCCGATGTTCAAATGGAAGGGAATTACCAGGACGGAAATCCAGGGAGGGGAGTCTGTTTACCATGCCGGCACCGACCCAAACCTGAAAGGTAGGCAAGGAAGTCAGGAATCTAAGCCCGCAAGGGGAAGGAGGGTGGCCACTCCCCCCCCTCCAACCCACTTTTTCAATTTGGAGGTAACAGCTCCCTACTTTTGGCAAGACTGTTAATGGCTGATGCCTGATAGTCTCACAGATGACCCCCCCCCTTTGAAAACTGTTGCCGCCATTGTTTAAGTGACCATATGGAAAACAGTTTGTCTGGTGATATTAGCCGTGTTGATAGTATGTGCTGCATTCACATAACGGCACTCCACTGACCGAATTATGTGATGTATTTGAAGTGAAGGCTTTTTGGGACTTTGTGCCGTGTTTGTTCATTTGTACCACAATTGTTTAATCACAAATCAACCAGTGCCATGATAGCATGAGTCACCTGGTCCCATTTCAAATGGACCAACTCATTTTTTGCCAACAGTATTCTTTAACATTCTTTCACGACAGTCTGAAGGAATCTTTGTTTTTCTCCCCGGCAGGGAAAACGGGCGGCTACTACCGGGACTGCAAAGAGACGGAGAGCTCAGTGGAATCCAACGACACAGCGGTGGCCAAGAAATTATGGGACGTCAGCGCCCAGATGGTGAACTTAGAGGAGGAAAAGAATCTGTAAGAGGAAAAAACAGAGGGAACGTTTATTTTGGTCTTTTTTTTTCTATTCATTATCATTACATTTCATAAAAACGATTTTCCTTCATTTTTATGATGGCCAGATGCTGAATAGTGAACATGCGGGTTGCCATGGCATTTTTCACACTCAGGAATTATATGCATGTTGAATTTTTGCTTGGACCAAATTGAGTGCCTGGCTGTCAACCGGGCTACGAGGGTTGGCACTGAATTTAATGGATAATTTGTAAGAACCAGGAATTTTCTCATTGAATTCAAAATGCTAATCATATTTCTTTATCACAGACTGACAAATGAATCACAAGTAATCGTTACGTTAACAATTCCTTGAAGCAAGGTTTAAGTTCAAAATGATTCTTATGAATGTAGTAGCTAGGAATCTTTCCAAAAACCTTTTTTGGTTCACTTTACAAGCTTTTACCAATTTTGCAACATTCAATAATTGTTAAAGCTGTACCAAAATTGACCTGACAAATTGTTAATCTTAATTACAGCATTCAGGGTGAATGTTCACAGTAAAATGATATCTGTCATTTAAGCAGTTCTGAATTTCTTGTGTTGTTGTCATTGATATATTAAAATTTGTTATGTAAATGTGGTAACATATTTTTAAGTGAAATAATATCCATTTTGTGCTGGCAAATGGAGTTGAATGTATTGTTTCTAAAACCTAACTTGAAAAGGTGGAAGATAATTCATATTGGTTTTCTAAATGTCACTTCAATCGAAGTATGATATATTTTCTTATTGTACAGAATGACTCATTAAATTGACACTAGAAAAATAGCGTCAAATAAAGTCAATAGTTTGTATCAATAAAATTGGAAATAAATGTTTTGTGTCAGTGGAAGTTGGTTGAATGTGTTGTTGAAACTTTGCTCTGAGTGTTTGATTGTAATTGGCAGAAATCGCATCCTTGCTCAATCCAAAGTCACTGTTTTGACTGATGTACTAAAATATCTCTTTTAAATCTGTTTTTGGTAGTATATGGGGAGATTGAAGCCATCTTCATATCAATTATATAAATTTCAAAAGTACATGAATTCAGCAATGTGCTGGACAGAAATAGTCATGTTTTCTTAATGAAACCTATGAAAGATTTTGTTAAAGTATTGGAGAGAGACGGGGTATGAGCCAGACAAATGCAGACAAAATCTTTGGAGACAGGTTCACACGTAACCGTTTATTAAGAGTGTTAGCAGGCTATAGTATAACATTTCCAGGCCCATAACTAGGACTTGGGGGTGCGAATCCTAAAAGCGGACCAAGCACAGATCTTGGCTTTTCTATTTTGAAAAACAGCAGGATTTCTGAAGTCGTACCAGTTGTTTTGGAGGGGTTACAAGTAAACTCCCGAAGATTGACTGAGACAAAAAATACCAGTGCGTGCGGTATTTTTTTTTTTTTTTTGCGCAAAATGTTCTAGCAAAATCTTTTCTTGCCTCAAAAGTGGACCTTGTAGTCGGGGGGTGCAGAGGGTGTGTCCAGTTACGGGCCTGATTTCTCAACTGAAGCAGGGACGTACCACCTATGTCTTCCCACTAGCGAGTTTACTAAACGGAAATGAGAAAATCATGATTTTTAAAAAGTGGGCGGCCCCCGGTATCACTACCCTGTATCGGCGTCTTGTGAACCAGGCTAACAAAATTAGACTGCAGACGTATTTTGACTGCGAAACATTGTATGGTACATGGTCGACAGGGGGCGCTGTATATTTTCAGATTTATCATTGCATTGTTAACTTGACGGTCATTCGGAGAGCCAGCTGATACTAGTGATAGGCTAGGCACACGTCTTTTTAAAAATTTTAAAAGACATTTATTATAACTTCGAACGGAAATATGGATTCAGCCAAAGTTGACGGCCAGCTCAAGTAAGCCATTGTTGTCATTTTTCTTTCTTGCCCGTTGATATAAAGCGTAACTTTGATCGTGCTTTAAGTTTAATGCAGCGCAGTGTTGCGTTTTTTTTTACCTTGCCCGATTGCAGCGCGTGGTGCAACTACCCGATCTGTCAAGCGGCTGTTTTGCTATACGAGTAGGGCCTACCAGCCTACGCACATTTACATGGGACAGAAGGTTGTGCTGAGTTGGTTCAAATGCACACTGTAATTTAAGGGAAAGAGTTCCATATCCAGACATCACTTGACACCTTGTGTACGAACCCTGTGGGACTTGTTGGCCCGAAAATTTAAGTGTTTTCTCGGTAAATGCTTTAAGTTCAATATTTTCCCTACTAAATTTGAGTTTCCAGGACATTTTTAGATACCTACTAGACATGCTAGACCTAGCCTACACATGTATCCACAAGTCACCATAATTCACACACTTAGTACTTTGACCAAAATTTGTTCTTATTCTGATTTTTTTATAGCTTATTTTTCAGTAGTGACTTAGAATTCTTGAAGTAAATTTTCAGTAGTTGAACTTGAGTGTTGGACTAAAATCCTACTTGGAATAATATAATGAAGAACATCAGATGTCGCTGAAGTAGCGGGAACAGTGTCGTCTGCAAACATGGTGGATTGGCCATAGTAAAACCTACGTCACCATAATTCATGCACACGTCATTTTACAGGGTATTGGTAATGCCCTACTTCTGAAAAAATCAGCCAGTTAATATCACTTGAATAAGGAATTATTATTGCATTCTTTACTTAAAGACACTTTTATTGGCAATAGCTTGGCTTCCCATCATTTAGTCTTTTTCGTTCTCCTAGATTTTAATTTTTTTCAATTCAAGTTGAAGTTACAGTGAGGCATGAATTTTTTTCTTTCTAGTAAATCATAATTAGCATTAATATGAGTTATTTATCTGGATATTATGACAAAGCTTCTCTTTCTACATGCATTTCTGAAAAAAGTAAAGAAATACAGTTTCACCAAATCTGCGACCATCATCGCCAACGGGACTCTCAAAATATAATATATATATACTTTTTATAACGCTCTCAATATTTGGCGAAAGTTGATTGAAGTCACCATTGGTGCCAGTAACGGACGTCCAGCATTGATCATGAACAAGCAGCAATCATTTGTCCATTTTCTAGACAATTTTTAACCAGTTCATTTTTGTATTTAGTCTGTAAAGTAAAGTTTATGCTCTGTTGACATTTTTCCCAAAGTCTTCCTGGAAAGGCTTTTAATTAGCACAAAGCTGCCAAAAGAAAGTGGCAATCAATCATCGACAGTAAATTAACGTCAGTGCATAATTCCGTTGAAGAGTTTCACGACGATAAAGTTGGATGCATGAATATTTGTATGGGTGAATTTAGGGTACTCCAAGATACCATCAGGCCTAGTACAAGGCCTACTAACCTAACTGCGTGACCATAGAGTTGCCAGGTCTGTTATATCACCACTTCCTCTGAAAACCAATCAGACTTGACAATACGTGTAGGTGGTGAAATTAAGGCGATCTGGTCACCGTGAGGTCATTGCAGAGAAGAGTAAGTGGCATCCGTGCATGGAATTCTTTCCAACAATAGTTTCATTTGGTTTATTCCAATTCCATTAACGTAAAAATTGAGTGTGCTTAGTGAGTTCCTGAGGAAATAAAAGAAAAACCATTGGACAAGGTGTTTTGACTCTTCATCACTGAATGCTGCATGAAGATAAAATACCGCAGACAGTTGAAAGGTTGTGTGCTTGCATATGCACGCAAGAAAGCATTACAACCACAGCCTAATATTGTCAACTTATTCTGATTTTTGAAACTCCAGTTCAGCAGATCCCAAGAAAGAGGGCACGGCGGTACAGGCGGTCACCCAGGGCTTACCCAAGTGCGTTGCTGACGCGGTTTTTGTACCGAGCGAGGATATGCCAGCCAATTCCGTCCCTGTGCGTGGTTATGACTTCAACCAGGGCATCGACTACCACAAGCTGATGCAGAGCTACCGGACGTCAGGATTCCAGGCAACCAATTTTGGCCTTGCCGTCGAGGAGATTAACAAGATGGTGAGCAATTTAAGGCAGTCACAGATTCATGCCGTGGGTTTTTTGTGCGTGTATGGTGAAAGAGATTGAAAGTCAATCACTGTCTGATGGAGCAATGCTACAGTCGATGACAGGAAGCGTCTTAGCCGGATGGTTTGCAATACAAGTAAGATCAACGGATGCCAGTCTTCCGTCACTAAATGATCTGTACCACTCCAGAGCTAAAAGAGAGTTCAGTCCATTGTTGATGATAAGTTTCATCCAGCTCATGACCTCTTCCAGCTCATGACCTCTTCCAGCTCATGACCTCTTCCAGCTCATGACCTCTTCCAGCTCATGACCTCTTCCAGCTCATGACCTCTTTCAGCTCATGACCTCTTCCAGCTCATGACCTCTTCCAGCTCATGACCTCATCCAGCTCATGACCTCTTCCAGCTCATGACCTCTTCCAGCTCATGACCTCTTTCAGCTCATGACCTCTTTCAGCTCATGACCTCTTTCAGCTCATGACCTCTTCCAGCTCATGACCTCTTTCAGCCTGTGCGGTCAGGTAACCGGTATTGTTCAATAAAATCAGGATCTAATCGCACACTGCAGAGGTTTTATCCAACATCAATCCGCATCCTCAATGACAGCATCTAGGTACATGTCGCTCCAGCTCTAGTCTGTACTTGAAATGCATTCCTCATCTGTTTGGTCACGCTCTGAGTCATCACTCTTGTTGTTTACTTTCAATATAAGGTTTTTATATTTCTATTTAAGACGAAATGTATTTCACAATAAGATAATAATAAAACAACATCATATATCCAAGACTAAGACCTGTTTAAAAGCTTAAAAAGAAAATTTTAAAGTGTCAAATTTCCAATTGGAGGAAGGCAACTGGGAGAGCGACAGTTTGGGGAGTGTGTGCCTATGTCAGCCCCCTTCCCCTTTTGAGTATGCTGCTTCTTTGGCATAAGGAATTCATGAACAGTTTACTTGTGGAAGAGATCAAGTCCTCAGCATTTCACTAAAACTGAGTGAAACTGAACGATTTGAATCTTTTGAGTGTGACTGGCCTAAGACACACTGATCTGCCCAGATCTTTTAAAATTCAAGTAGGGAAAAACCACCAAAAAAAAGGAAGCCGCTGAGAACTAAGAAGCGAGTTGAGACAGAAAACTTTTTACTGGCCTGGTGGCCTTGGTGCTACAGTATCAGGCCCAAAAAAGTCTCCGGTTTCTGATCGGTACGTCTGTCGCCGCAGCCCTGCGCATCGGTAAATAAAAAAAGTTTTTTGTTGATATAATATGATGTCTAAAAGCTACCAATCTTGCTCGCTTGACTGGAATCCTGCTACTGTGTAATTTTAATGTCTTTTAGATAGGGTACTATATGTACCATTAAATAATAATGTGCAGTGAAGGATTCCCTCTAGGCCCCCATGCATTTAGTTGGGCACTCTTTTTCAGATGATGTGATATCTGTTTTAAACATTAACCTCTGGGAACCAGGCAAACGAGGTGGTCTTTCATGTATGTCCTGTGTACAAGCTGAAAATGTGTTTAAACAGTAAATAGTGAGGGGGCCAGTCTATTTCAGTGTTGCCAGTGGCGATACAGAAGTACCTATCAATATGTACGTGTACATCTCTAGGAAAAAAAATTGGGGGGGGGGAAATAATGAGCAGTGTCACTGCACCACTTTTGGAGCCAGCCCCTGACCAGAAACCGGAAACTTTATTTTTTTTTTGGCCTTAATGCTTGTTTTTTCTTCCCTCCTATAGTTGGACAAGAAAGCAGAGCCCCTGAGCGAAGAGGAGGTTGCCCTGGGAACAGAGTTGAACCCCGTCCACCGCACCAAGACCAGCTGCACCATCTTCCTGGGCTACACCTCCAACCTTATATCCTCGGGACTCCGGGAAAACTTGCGTTTCTTGGCTCAGCACAACCTGGTGGGCCTGAAGTCCTTAACGTTTGTCCTCAACAGTTTTGTTTTCAAGGTGTTCCTATGACGTGACCCGCTCTGTGAGGAGACAAAAGTCGCGTGGATCACTGTGAAATAAATCGCCGCCGACAGAACTTTGCACAGTGTCAATCAGCTGGAATCCCTCAATTTTTCATCCCCATAGTCTCCATTTTCATCAAAAGGATTCCAAACTGATCGCTACTTCAAAACAAAGAGCTGAGCTTGTTCTTTTGAATGCAAACTAAAACCCAAATGTACCACTGGCAACTCCATAGTAGAATTTAGTAGAACTGAAATCGTACGAAATGGGTATTTGGCATAGGCTCATTTTTTTCTGTTGACTGCATAGATAATTTTGCCGTATGTCTACCGGTGGCAGTGTTTGTAACCAAGGGGGGGATCCCCAACTTCCTCACTTGAGGCCTTTGCTCCACCCACCCACCCCCACCGGCTGAATGAATAGGAGTACAAAATAATTTTAGCTCTCTGAATCCTTTGGCAATAAGTCCCTATACAAATCAATAATGAGCACATTTTTGGTACTTGCACTTTTTGAGAAGTACTTGTACTCACACTCACAGAGAGTACTCATTGACATGAACTTGACAGCAGTGCTGTATTTGACCATACGTAGGTGGACGTCATAGTGACCACGGCCGGTGGCATTGAGGAGGATTTCGTCAAGTGCCTTGCCCCGACCTTCCTCGGTGACTTCCGCTTGCCCGGCCGGCAGCTGCGGTCCAAGGGCATCAACCGTATCGGCAACCTCCTCGTCCCCAATGACAACTACGGCCTCTTTGAGGACTGGATCATGAAGATCTTTGATGAGATGCTGGAGGAGCAGAATACTCAGGTAATGGATAGATATTTTTTAGAAAAAGGAGACAGCGCCATCGCGCTCAGTGTACATTTCCTTCGATGCTGAAACAGCAAACATGACTGACCTTGTCAGGGTTCTTTTCCGCTTTAGTGACAAAGTTTATTGGAACCGGTGAAGTAAATGTGGTCACTTTTTAGATCAGTTCTCTTCCATTCTTTGGGAAAGTGAAATTAAAATTCTGGGAACCAGTGAGGCAAAATGTTGTCACTGCAAGAGTGGTTTCCATCTCTCTCCTTCAGAAATCTAGAGTATGTTTTTGCAGAACCAGACTATGTTCATATCCCATTGTGAGGCTGCACGGCGCCCTCTGTAGTGGTGCACAAAACCTACAACTGTGACATTCGGCTGTATGAGATCCACACATATTGGGGTCAAATGATGGTAAAGTATCACACCTTTGACAAATTTTGGCCCTTTGGTTTTTTTTTTTTTTTTCCCCGCCAGGGAGTGCATTGGACGCCATCACGTATGATTGCCAGGCTAGGCAAGGAGATCAACCACCCAGACTCTGTGTACTACTGGGCCTACAAGGTAAAAACAAAATGACAAAAGTAGCCTGCGTACCATACAGTTACCATTTTTTGGTTCACTTAGGTGAACACTTTGTATTTTAAAGAGGGTTTTTTTTAAGCTGACTGAGGTTGGAAAGATATGAAGTGAACGGTTTGTAGCATCAGCCAGTGAACAGTGATTAATGTCTGAGTTTTTTGTCTGTTGTACAAATGTTTTGGCATCAAAATATTGTACACTGGTTAGAGAACCTGATTGAAGTGGGTACCTCAATCCTCGGGTTGCAGTGCCATGCAGACAGTGCTGAGGCACCCGACTAATTGTTGACTACACGTTTTCTTCATTTGCATCAACTGCTGGCTGTGTCCTCAATTTGCAGAACAACATTCCGGTTTTCTGTCCAGCGATTACTGACGGTTCCATTGGTGATATGCTGTTCTTCCATTCCTACAAGAAACCTGGTCTAGTGTTGGACATCGTTGAGGGTGAGTGAGCTAATCCGGGGTTGTTATGAGGAGTTCCAAAGGGGCCAAATGAATGGCTTGGTTGGTGGAGCACCTGTGCTTAAATGTGGTGGTCATGGGTTCAAATCCTGTTCTTGTCCTTATATTTGTTTGTTTATTGTGGAAAGATTTCTTCCTGTAGCGAACTGATTGATGAGCACCCAGGTATCTTTTTGCTGTGCATATTTTTATGTTGACAATTGTTTATACCCTACCAACTTTGTCCTTTATTGTTTTGTTGGTAGAACACCTGTACTTTACTGTGGAGACAGTTGGTCCAAGTCCCGCCTTGGTTGTTCTCTTTCGTTCACTTTGAAAATGAAATTTCTGCCCGCTAGATATTCGTCGGATGAACAGCCAGGCCATCTTTGCTGCCAACTCGGGCATGATCATACTAGGAGGCGGACTGGTCAAGCACCACATCTGCAACGCCAACTTGATGGTAAGACCGTGTCCGAAATGGGTTTCCAGAGCTACGGCTCCATCTGTTGTCTGCGCGTCTCCGCGTAATTTCCAATGAAGAAAGACCTAGACCTAGCTCTAGACAACAAATTCGAACGCAGCCTAAGTCACGTCACAGGAGCAAGTCTGGGCAAGCATGGTCTTTGAATGGTAATGAACCGTGAGCGCATTCGTACTGACCGGTGTACTAGACGTACTGTGAGTGTATTTGTTGTACACTAACGGCTTTTGTGTTGTGGGCTGAACAGACTTGCATTGCTAGTAAGACAACTGCTGGCAGTTTCGAGAGCATGCCTGAGCAACTCGGGGAATAAACCTGTAACCGCGAAAGCATACCCCCTAGATACGAGTGCACAAGTACATAACTTTGCTACAAAGGTGCCCTGTGAAGATTTTGTCAGTAGTCAACGCGTCAGCGATTTGGCGGTTAATTCGCTGACCAACTGAATTTGATAAATACTCCAACAAACACTGCCCTGGTTTGTATTTCAGAGGAACGGAGCCGATTTTTCAGTCTTTGTGAATGTTGCGAGTGAGTTTGACGGTTCTGATTCCGGAGCTCGACCGGACGAGGCAATTTCCTGGGGGAAAATCAAGCCGACGGCGACCCCAGTCAAGGTAGCTCACAGTAGCCTCCTTTCAAGTCAGTCTGACGTCAACAGTTTGGTTGAATCCCAGAATGTTCTTGTAGCGCCTTGGCCATGTTTCCCTTGGCCACATCCAGTGCATATTTGTTAATAATTGGTCTTGGCAAGAAACAAACAAGTCATACCAAGTCTATTTATAGTGCATTAGAACTCCCTTCTGCGTTCCTTCAATTCATCAATGCATTTACTGATTTAGTAACTTAAACCATTCTTCACATAAAGGCTACAAAATCTCGGATTCATGAATTATCAGATGACTTGATTGCATTTTTCGTTCCCTGTCATTCACCCACAGATCTACGGAGAGGCCACTCTGGTAGTGCCATTGCTGATAGCCGAGACCTTTGCCCGGCGAGTCCAACTGCCGCATAAAACTGAGGAGATCATTAAATAGAGCGGAAGCCCTTCCATCAAAGAGGCTTTTATATCTCTCTGTTATCTTAAGAAGGAGATTGCAAGAGGTTCTGATGAGGGCTGCTCGGGTGTGTGGCTGCCAGCATTTAACTGAAGTACAACCTGCCCCCCTCTGTGCTCAACTTCCATCTCAGCACCAGACAGTAGTTGGACTTCGTAATTTTAGACGAATACCTTTTCCCGTCAATCTCTGATTTGCAATCTAATTGGACCCAAAGCCTGGGTCCCTTGGGAGTATTTGTGAAGTTTATAATAGCCATTATGTATGAACGGGAAAGCGTTGCAAGTATTTTATCTTATTTTATTTTTACAGTACATAATATTGGTAGTGTAGTCGCATTTCGACGGGCCCAGTAGGAGGACATGTAGAGGTGAGACTCCACGTATGATTACATCACCATTGATAATCACTGGAGAATTACGGAACAGCACTGCACCTTTTCTGTGGTGCAGGTATGCACTTATTATTAAGGTCTACCCTATTCCTCACAGAGCATCGCTCTCTGCTTTTACACAAAGACATCTTGGTTTTGTGCACATTCTGTTGAAATTGATTGTGCAATTTTTGTGGCACCAGCTCCTGGGAACCAGTGAGCAAATGTTGTGTACCACTCTTGGCTCTTGTAAGTTAATGAGAGATCTCTTTACATGTGCAGTCAGATGCAGGATATTGAATTGCATCCCTTGTTGGTCCCGAGATAAACAAAAATAAGTGTTCTGAAGTTGATGTTCTAAGGTTTTCCTTTGTGAAATCTTTTCATCAAAAAGGTAGAGTAACATTACACAATGGTCACATATCATTTTCAGGCGTGAATTTTATATTACGTGACTCTTTACTGGACTTATGGAATGGAGGAGGACAGGGAAAAGATATTTGACGACATCATAAATCCCCTTTTAATCTGCTTACTCAGTTAAAGGTCAAAGTATGGCTTAGTGCATTTCTTCTATTTCTCAGTGTTGTGTTCCAACTTTACTGTCAATGTTATTATGATGGTCATCAGTACAAGCATTGATTTGTCAGAACCACTTGGTGACGGTTGAAAACAATTTGTTCATTTATGAGAAAAATGAAAAAATTCACGATGTAATTATGCAGACGTATGCAAATGATTTGGACACAGCCTAATCCACCATTCGGAAGCCTACACCGTACTTGCAACGTCTTGAAATAAGACTAGCCTCGACTGTTCGTGTCTAATGATGGCGCCCTTTATGTCGCGCCAATTCTCACACATCATCATGTGAGTATGATGTTTGATGACCTGACTTGCCTGATGTGTCACGGACGCATATATAGGTTGTAAACATCGTTTTGAGATCGAGTAAAACGAAAGGAAATGGGCCTCAGTTACAGAGTCATTTGTTAAAATACCATCTGTAGGATACAATGGCACAGGAATCGGAAAATAAAGAGGTAATGTTAACATTACAGTTTGGTCCTTCATGTTAATTGTTACGTGTGGAGGTCGGACGCTGCATGCTACGTGTCAAGAGTCCATGATCGGAGATCAGACCATAAAGGAGGAAGGAACATTGTCGGACAGAGATGTCTCTTCCTTCCTCCAGGGTTGACACGGTTGAATTCATTGATCTGTGAATAATGGTCGAATTAAGTTGAACAAGACTTATCACTTCATTCAGACGTTCTTAAGACGTTCAGTTTTAAAATTAAGCTTGCCCAAAGTACTTTATTGTATGACAATGCCTTGTGTTGGTATGGTTGGTCATTGGTTACTTCGTGAGCTCAAACTTTTCAAAGTGACTTTGAGTTCTCGAAGTAGTCATTGGTGTGTGCGCCAGCTGTACTTTTCTGGGTCCCCTGCAGCCTGGCATATCTCGTGGTATTACTATGAAGTTATGAACGACTGTTTCCGAATCATGACACACTGAATGTTTGCTGGAGTGTTATGTATATTTTGAATAAACCATGTGCACGATGAGGATGAGTGAAGCAGTTTAGAAAAGTATTATTTTGAAAAGGTTTGTCCATGGGCATGACGGAGAAATACGGTTCGTTACAGTTTGGAGGAAAGTTTGGAAATTCCTGAAGGCAAAAAAAGGATTTGGAAAGAAAGCAATACAGCCCAGTTGGACATCTGTGGAGTGTCAAGAACAATTTCCAAGTGTTTCAAAGAAAATAATAATTTGTTTGACATTGGGGAATATTTCTCAATCTTTGTCCCAGCTTTTTATCTTTCAAATCTGTTTGAGATGACAAACAATCAATACGTTAACTGCCACTCATAATTTGAAAGGGATGTTCCCATTTGCCAAGCATTGTCCTCATGAGCACATTTAACAGGTGCCTTTCAGGTGTCTGTTTGAACCCGAGTATTTTACGGATGTACGCTGTCAACACTGCCAGTAGCGCATTTGTTGTGTTCTTTGGTTAGGCCAGTAAATTAGATTTACATCGTAATAGCATTTCATTTCTTATGAGTATACCCCTAGTGGCGGAATCTGGTACACCTGTGACTACGAGTGTACTCATGGTAGGTAGTCAACGTGTTAAAAAAGGAGAGGCATATCAAATGCAACATTCTTTCCATTTGAAAAGTTTTTATTCATGTTAGAATTAATATGTCTTTTAAAATAAGTACATGACCATAAGAAGTATTATTAAGTCCATTTCTAGTAGAAACTGATGGGATTTTTGTTTTTTAGGGTTTTTTGGGGGGTGGAAGGGTTGAACTCGGGATGTAAAATTTCATTTAGTGTATTGATGTTAGTGCCTGGACAGGTTATAAATAATACCTACTTTAATTCTTTGACTCAAGGGTTTCACCCTGTACTGCATGGAGTTTGGAGACTTCTTGAAAGTGATTTCACCAGGCCTTATAATTTTTACCCTTCAGACTCAGGTTTTGTTTGAGCAAGGGGGCGTGTTTATCCACACAACTCAGGAGGAGGCAGGTGATGTACTGATCGGAGGAAAGATCCAAGTTATCAGAAAGGTCAGTTTAAGCACTGTTACTGTAAAGTGCGTGGCATTTATCGTGACACAAGTGGTATGGTGTGTTGGATTTTCACGAGAACGATTAAGGGTGCTGTGTAGAACAACAGTGAGTGCAAGGAGGTTTTTTTTTTCATATTGGGGCTTGAATAAACTGCCCAATTTTTCAGGCTGTCGGTAGAAATTAGCTGTAATCAGTTTGACCGATTTCAGCCTGACATCTTTTGTTTTTTTGGTGGTTATTCAGAGCGATGGCGCGTACATCGAGTGGAATCCTGTCAGAGATGAGGACAGTTTCCACATGGAGAAATCGGACGTGGACTGGACCGTGGTCAACACGGTCAGCTACCAACGGGAAAACAGCAGGACCACAGGTAGTGTCCATAAAAACTGCATATGAAATCTGCCTGGTTTGGAATTTTCTTGTAGCGATACACCAGGGCCTAATTTCAAGGCGTTGCTTAGCGATTTGGCAATTTTGCACTAACAGAGGCTCTGTGCACTTTATGGAGACCGGCAGCAGTAAGCATAGCCAAAGGCATGCCAACCTTGGAGGAAAAATTTGTTTAAGCTTAGTGATATGGCAATAAAAATCTCTGTGCACGAGCAGCCTTCAGCACCACCATGCTCACCACAGCCATGAAATAGTGCTTAAGGTTAGCAAATTTTTCTCCTCAAGTTACCAGGACTTTTCCACTAAGACTTAAGCAGCTCCATGAAATTGGGCCCTGTAGAGTTCTAGTTTGCTATGTCTGGGCTGTAACTGGGAGGATATTGCAGTCTGTATACTTGATGGCAGGTTGGGACCCACTGAAGTTGAGTCATTTATGACAGTGTACATATATCACAGTATGGTAAACTGGTATCACAGTGTGTGGACTCAATGTGTTCTAAACAGTAACCAGCATTCATTGTTCACACATATTTGCAAGGCTGTGAGCGGATATTTCTGAAAAATGCCATTGCCCACACTTAAAAGCAATGAGGTGCCCTTCCAGGGCTGAAAGAAGCCTGGTCACAATGTTTTTATACGCTCTTCTCCCAAACCAGAGAGTGTAACCGTGGCCCAGCCCAGCCGGCGCAGCCGCTATGCCATGAGCTTCCCTGTGGTGGACACCAAGACCATCCGAAGGTCCAAGCGCAGCCTGGGCTGGTCCTACCTGGTGTTCGTCCTCAAGGACGGAGTTTCGCTGCCCCCTCTGCATTTCCACGAGGGGGGCAGCGCGGGACTAATACGGGAAATGAACAAGCATGTCACCATTTCCACGTAAGTCTGTACGTAAGGGCCAAAGTCACAACAGCCATAAGGGGATTTCCAAATTGCAAGTTAAATTTGAATAAAATCTGGTACACTGAGTTCTGTTAATGTGAACATAACAATTCTCTTGGACTTCTCCATACTAAAAACACTGTTGCTATACCTCGTGATTCAGGGCAAGCTTTTGCTAAGTTACATAAGAGACGCCTTGCAAAAATACAGTATTCTCAATGGATAAGAAGGGTACAAAGGAACCAGTCCATTCCAGAGATGGTGGTCGCTATGCGAAAGCTTGCCTCGAATTACGACGTACAACAACAGCATCTTTTGTCTTTGGAATTCAAATTGTTACATTTATGTGCAATCCGATAACTCAGTGTACTAGATTTCATTCAAACTTAACTCGCAAAAGGCTTATTCTGTAGTTTTTATATAAACATTAAGCACTGCCAATGTATATAGGGTTTGGATCAGTGGCAGACCTGGTTTTTGGCGGGAGGGAGGGAGGATTTCAAAGGCGAATGTGGCTTTGGGCTCATTCAACATGATGATGGGGAGAAAAACATATCAAAAGCCTTACTCATGGTCCGGACATCCTTGCTTTTATTTTGTGGTATTGTTTTCGTAGGGATTTGGTGCTTACATTTGAGAAATCAAATATTGTTATTAATATATGATTTAAAAAATCCTGGTTTGGATTCCATCAAACGAGTGAAGTGCCAAGTATCAAGTGGAATCTACTCCAGAACATGTAGAGAGGTTTGATACATGTATTGTACACAAAGCTACCGAAACATACATGTTCCATTTCTGCCCTGAATGACATAATGCTTTGACTCATGAATATTGAAATCTTCATTTGCATAGAATCCAAGCCTTCATTAGCATAGAATTCATTAGTTGAATTTCTCCCTTTTACTCCTACAAAGGATTATATATTTCGAATAAACAAAAACTGCTGCCAAGATCGTTTTTGCCTTTCGCCAGGATGGGTGGACAGTTGGCTTGATGAGACACCGACTGTCTGTGGCTCGATCTCTGAGTTTTGTGGTTGAAATGGCAATGAGAATTTGCCATTGGGTACTGCACTGAGTAGCGAGCACTTTTGAGGATTTGGCAAGCTTTCCAGCAAAAATGCCCAGGGAGTCATGATTAAAGATTCATCTCGAGTCATAAGTCCCATTTCTCTACTTCATGCATGGTCAACGTGTTTGCCGCTCTCCCCCGCTAGGTCTGCGACTGACTCTTGCCAGCTTATCGTCCTACCCCACAACACCGATGCCCTGACACAGTCCTTCACAGAGCTCAAAATCATGGGGGAGACGTCCGCCTCGGTAAGTCCCCTTTGATTTCTTTGGATAGATTTTGTGGGAGGAGCCAGCAGCTGCTGTTTCTAGCGTTTGGAATGTTGGTATGTTTTTGAGTTTGCATTGATTGAATAAAGGCATTGATTGGATCAAGATTTAAACAACAAAATTATTATGGTCCATTTCTAACAAGTAGCTTAGCTTTTGCCTTGAGAATTAAAAATTGTGAGCAAATTTCAAGACATAAAGTTGAGGAAGGGTCGAATCTTTTTGAGGACTCTGAGCTCCTATTTCTGAGCATATCCTGGGATGGCAAAGGACTTTTGCTGTTTTGCTATTGATACTTAAAATAGAGGAACTTATAGTCCATTTTGAGAGTTTTTTTAGCTTGTAATATTTGTTTTTGAGGATCACATGCTCTTTTAGAAGGGGTCCCAAAACCTCCCCCCAAAAATAAATATTAACAACAATTAAAACAACAAAAGACAAGACCAGAAATGGAACAAAATGAAAACAAATAATACAGGAGTGTAAAATACGGTGAAATAGTTTGAGTTGAGTACAGTTTATCTTCTTAAGCACTGTAAAAAGATGTATGTTTCCCCTTTTCCTTGAACCCACCCGTGGGTGTGTGCTTGCTAGCTGGTAGTCCTTTTTACTTGTGGCCTGATGAAAAAAAAAAACAGTTTAACTGAATACTCCTTAGTTAATCAAGCAGTGAAAAGAAATTAGCCATTGTGGTTTTGCTCTCCATTGACCACATCCCAGTGACCTGGGCTTGCTCCTAAGAAGCGAACAATACACTAGGACATGCATGGTCACTCTACAGAGGCGAGAAGGCATGGTCACTCCAGGTGATTGGGCTGGTACTGAGATGACGCCTGAATAGGCCTTTTCATTGATTTCAAAGTGCAACCCCCACAAATTTCACCCCCTGTTTTCAACCAATCACAGTTCACTGTTGGTCGGGGTTTTAAAGGATTATCTTTGTTGGCTGAGCAGGACAGTAGTACAAAATGTACTAGGAATTGGGATTGTGTTCCTATGATAGGATGTGCATGTAATTGTTGAGCAGCATTTGTTAGGGCCAGTGTGCCTGAGTACATGTAGGTTGTCAGTTCAAGCACAGCTTGGGGGCAACCTCCATTCAGTTGGTACATGTAGCTAGTGAAGAAACAGCAATGGCTTGTGTGGAGTAAAACGGAAGTGAGAATTGTGTTCTCTGTCGTGACTGTGGGTTCATCTTCAGGACTGAACATTGTCCTCTGCTGAGACCATTGTGGATTCTCCAGATTTTAGCCACATCCTTGGAACATTTGGCACACCCGTTTAGTTTGTAGATTTATGGTGTGAGCTACACGGTTGTAAATCCACCGTTGAGATATCTTCAAAATCCTGTGATGTTTGATAAAGCCTTGCCACATCACTGATGAAGTTGCTCAATTTTGGAGAGCAGTTTTGTGTGAAACACTTGGAAAGTAGACCAGCATCACTCTCGTGAAATACTGTAACTTTATTTGTTGTCCAGCTTGTGTTCTGCACAGGCCTTGTCAGTTCATCAGTCCCATTGTTAGGCAGTCAGCCTTTGCTGTTTGCTGAACCGTGTTGGATTCCAGGCTGCATTGTTGCGAAAGTAAACTTTACAAGTACACTGTAAAATTGGCCTATAAATTATGAATGAAAACTCTGCCAAAGTCGACTGATTGTTTTCAAAACGATAACAATCCGGGGAAATCACAAGCGTGGGAACAAATGGATTTTCGTGCATTGGCAGTCAAATTTCTGTGGAAAATGGAAATCAACCTCCCGTCCTCAGCTTCAGCAGGCAGATTTTGTGAATCCTTGGAATCTTACAATGAGAGATCATCAGATAATGAGCCCATTGAGGTGTCCATATCCCCGAGACTGCTTCCCCTAGACGAAGAGTTTGACTGCACTCACTATGACCCCAGTGAATCAGATGTCGTTGGCTCCAAGAGATTCCACGATGGGAACCAGCTCGTACCCTCTGGTACGAGAGCCATACATTGGGATGTACGGATCACTCACCAGGAGTCGGTCATCACGAGTCAGTGTGTAAGAACTGAAAAATCTGTCCAGTGGGTCCAAGGGGTACATCAACCTGGTTGTGAGGGTTCTCAACTACGAAAGTCCTTCCGTTGGCTTGACAAACTGAGAAAGAAATCAAGTAGGCAGCTGAAAATCACACCAGTTGTACTGCGAGTGGAAGACTGGGAACCAGGAAAGGCAGTAGTACTTGAATTGAAGACCGCACTTTGGAGAGGGAGCCAAGATCCCACTTTCAGTAATGATGTGCCAAGCCAAGATTTGAAAAACATCCTGTCCAAAACTGAGGTTTCTGTAAACTTTAGAACTGAGCTGGAGATAAAATTGGAGCTGCATTGTCATTCTAGTTTTCAATCTGTGGACCGAACAGAGCTTTCCACAAATGATTCAGCTGTTGATTCAAAGACTGGCAAAGTAACCAAAGTCTATATGACTCAACTGGACTTAAAGGTTTTCCGAGTACCAGCCACAATTAACAACAAGTTTCCTCAAGTGCATTTTTCATCGTCAGTAGTTGGAATTACGAGTTCAGCAGCCACATTAGAAGATAGTCCCGGAAACCCGAAAAAGTTTTCCCTTATGAGTAGAAATCATACCCAGAGAAGAAGATGGGAAAAACCGAAGCCACGGATGCCTAAGCCCTTGGACATGGATGAATGGGATATCATTGAGGCAGCTGAGATTGACTACCACCCAAATCTGGGTGACTCCGTGGACTCACCTTTCTCATCGACTTCCTCATCAGTGATCCCCTGTCGCCTGGCAGTTGTGACCTTTTCACCTTTCACTTTTGCCCCTCGTGGTGCGGGCCACATGTCAATCTCAATGTCGACAGTCGTGGCAGTCCCTCTGCCACATTTTGCCTTTGTGAAAAATGGCCAATGCCACAGAGCTATTCTTGAAGATGAAGATAACCCACCGAGATCTGAATGCAGGTCAAATGCTTTGCCAAAATCCTCTACAAGTTTAACAAAGGCAAATTGCAGCAAAGCACACCGAGCCTTTGTACTTGACTCTCCTCTGGGTGCTAGGAATGAAGTACAGATTGCAGGTTTAGAAAATGAGGTACACAAACCTCTAGAAACTCTCTCGTTGTATGCATCATCAAAGGCAATTTTCTCAAAGGATTATATTGTGGTTTAAAACCCCAATTACCCAAATTCCTTGGTTGGTTTGGTTCATATAGAAGAATCTTTCAATGGAAACAAAAGAAAACAAAATTAGCCCTGATGAGATTATGGGCAGTATTTCTTAACCTTTCACACTGTTACTACCCCAGTCTCCCACCAAGATGGCATGTGTTATGCTAGACTTAGGGACCTTGACATGTATGAAAAGTCTCGTTCTTACTAAATGATCATTAAAAATTGGAAACTGACCAACAAAAGCAGGAAGTATGTTAAGAAATTCAGCTGCTTAGAGAAGATTGTCTGATCACATCTGGACTTAAATTCAAGAGCAAAGTCTTCACTACTGCTCACTTATTTTTCTTTGAGATTTGAAGAGTATGTGGGTAATTCCAGAAATTAGGGGTCCAAAAATGGGACATACTGTGTCCCTGTTACATCTGACCTTTGTTATTTGACATGGAAATATCACCGGAATCGATTTCAGACAATTACTATTTGTCTGGCAGGTAATTTACATTAATTTATCTCTCTTGGAAATTAGAAAATCTGTTCTGAACTTGCAAAATCATGTCAGATGTAACAGGGACATAAACAAAATGGACCCCTAATTTCTCGAATTACCGATGTCACATTTTTGACATTTGAATCACTCCTAAAGAACCTGTTGTTTCTTCTCTCCACAGTGTTCTGAGGAAAGGAAGGTGGATTTACTTGAAATATTTACCTCCCTCAAAACGCTTAACCAATAGATGGATTTATCCCCTAACAAGAGGTTTTCTTTTCCTTATTTTTTCCCCTTTTCCCTTCTAATTTCAGAAATTCTTTAAGGATCCTTACACAGTAACGATGGGAGGGTTCTCCAAGGTTACAAACTTCTTCCGTGAGGCTCTTGTGGCGCCGGCCGCTAACCGACCCATTGATGAATATGCAGAGCTGATGACGGACCTGCCCAGTATCCTGTCCGTCAACTCCCAGGCTGAGCAGAGCTACGAGATGGTTGTCCCGGAGGTGAGAAGCTCAAACTGGATTTCACTCCTGAAATAGGTTTTCCATTATGGATTTCACGTTAGACCTCTCATTCCAGTTTTGCCACCTCCCAACTTTTGTGTCTGCATCTCAGACTGCAGAATCATGTTGCAGTGTTTTTCAGTCGGAACCAAGTGAAAATAAAATGCCCCAAAATTTGGATTCATGTTGGGCAGTTTGATGTTTCCTTAGCTGTAAATGGTGCTGTACTCTCTTGTCAGAGGACAGGCTGGACGCGGGACGCACACAGGATATGACTTGGAGTTACCTTAGATTGGTTGATAACTAGTGAAAATAATTATTAGTGCCAAGTTATAGATGTAGCAGGGGGTCAGTAGAATTGTGAGATATATCTAGGCACTCCTGATAGTAACTAAAGGGGGATAAATTATAGTGGTCTGTTTTGTGTTGCTTTAACCATGCAGAGTAAGCTGGGCTCCAGACCAGATGTGGAAAGACGAGGCCCACTGACCGAGGCAGAGTGGGCCAGCCATCTTGACAAGGAAGGAAGAGTCACCAATGTCAAAGATCTTCAGAAGAAGATCTTCAGAGGGGTACGTCTGCATTTCTTCTCTCCCCAATCTGGCTTGTGATATCTTCATACGACCTGGCTCCAGCAAGAGTGAACAAAGTAACTTTATTGGCTGAAAAAAAAAATTAGCAGGACTTCAAAGTGGGTTGTTGTCATAGTTGGTCACATGACTGAAACACTGAGTTGTGATTGGCTCATTTGATTTTCTTTTTTTTTAGGGTTTGGTTCCATCCCTGAGGAAGGAGGTCTGGAAGTTTCTGCTTAAGTACTACCCCTGGAACTCCACCAGCAAAGAGAGGACAGCGCTTCGAAAAATCAAGGAGTAAGTTTGTCTCCTATACCTCAGCCATTGCACAACATGAGCTGTGAAATTGTAGTCTCAAACTAAGTTGATAATTGAAGAGAACTTTTGACAAGTGGCTATAAACTAAGATTAGCACAATAGCCATAAGTCACACTTGTCATTCCTGACTTGACCCAAGCTGTATTGACCTTTAAATTCTTCAAAATTCTCAAGCAAATTTTGAGGGGAATTTGTAGGATTTTGTTGGGAAAAGACAGCCAGAACACTGCTACTTGGTGGGAGGGTTGAATCCCTTGGAAGATCAAGTACAGAGTATGGGTGTTATTGGTTCTTTACAGCATTAGATTTCATAAGATCAAGGAGGGTTCTCAATAAAGGTTTGGAGGGATTAAAAGTGAAATGCTCAGAACAACCCTCGGGAAAATTGACTTTTCTGATGGGTTCAGTTCGGTTTCCCCCCCTCCTGGTTACTTTGCTTTGCATTTTGGTCGTCAGGGACGAGTATTTTTGCATGAAGGCCCAGTGGAAGACCATCACTCCCCAGCAGGAGAAGAGGTTCAGCAAGTACCGAGACAACAAGAGCATCATAGGTATGTCCATCACAGGTACACACCCCATTGCCATGGTTACCATGCATGTTTATGTCACACTTCTGTTTTGTCTCCTCCCTTGAATGGAATCAGGCAATGTTGCTTAAACAAATTAATGAGGTAAACCAATCTCAGTTGAGATCTGATCTCAAGCAGTAGACCTTGTTTGACATTTTGCCTGGCGATCTGCTTTTGCTGAGCAACTGTTTTCTGTTCCTAGCTAATGTTTCCTATAGTTAGCTGATTCTGTTACGTTCTCCATAAAATTTAATTGAAAGGTAGTGAGTGAATGTGGTAGCAATGTCATTATGTCATGTTTGGTTTTGATTTGTGTACTATTGTGATGTAAATACCACAATTTTGTAGGACTGTGCCGAATAACCGAATATTCGCTCGATTGTCGAATATTCGAATATTATTTTTCAAATTTGAATATTCGAATGCAAAATTCATGAAAAGGAAGGGAACATTTTCTTTGGTTTTAAATGAGAAAAATTGCACTATGGAGGCTTGTTTCGAGCAGATTCTAATGAAATGTGTCAGAAATCTTACAATTAAAAAAGCAAATTATTCAATAAACAATTTAAAAGGAATAGAAATTTTCAACAGGGCCAGAAGTCTTGTTCATCTCTTAAATCTTGCTAAATCATGGTTGGAGATACTCCTAAATGTGAGAAGCTGTTATATTGATTATAATGCACAATTGTGTGCATTATTGCAACTGATTTTGTATATGGTTTGTTCATCAACAATCTGCCGGTCGGTGCAACCGAATATTCGGATATTCGATCAAATTGAAGGTCGAATATTCGAATACTGAATTACTTGAATTGACTCAGCCCTACAGTCTGGTAGCAGTGTTTCGTTTTTCATGTGTCTTGCTTGTCTGTGCAGATATTCCTGAAGATGTTATTTGACTTTCATCCTTTGCTTTTTTTATTCAGAAAAAGATGTGATTCGGACAGACAGGACACATCATTTCTTTGAGGGGGAGCACAACCCACATATTGAAGTGCTGCACGATATTCTCATGACGTATTGCCAGTACAACTTTGATCTTGGTATGTACCAACACTAGTAAGGAGAACTTGAAACTCACTTTTACATTAAATAGTTGGGAGAACTTGCATTTCAGTTTCACTTGAGACTATTATGAGCATTGAAACATGCTCTTATTGTAGATTACATTATTCATTTAGCAGCATAACAAGTGTCTTTCTGCATGAAGCAATTTAAATTACAATGTATATTGCTAATTTCCTGTCTTAAAAAATTATTTTCATTTGAAAATCATGTAAAAAAAATTGAAGACTGCCTAGCAAGATCAAGCTATTCTTGAAAAACAAGATGTTAAATCCATAGAATTTAAGAAACAAACTCATTTTCAGTTTGCATTATGTGTTTATCTTATACGTTTTGGCACCTTATGAGATATATATGATTTCTGAAGCAAGCTTTCAAGAATCTGAAATGGTGCGCAGCCATCATCCACTACAATACATGTATATGTAACGTCAGGATCAATGTTTTTCCATCAGGTTACGTACAAGGCATGAGTGATCTGCTGGCTCCCATCCTTGTTGTCATGGAGAGGGAGGTGGATGCATTCTGGTGCCTGGTGGGATTCTTGGATGACCACAGTCTGGTAAGGGGGGACACTTTTGCCAATAAGGCTTGCATTGGAACTGGGGGCGGGGTACCAGAATGCTGATGTCAGAAACAAGTTCCAAACATTTTTTTTTTTCTGTGTGATGTGTGAGGAGGGATGGCAGCTGGGGAGGGGTATACGGTAAGCAGCTAGGTTTTGTAACTCCCAGCCAAAGGGTCAGGGGGCTCAGAACTCATACGGCTGAACTCATTCCACCCATGAGCATGGATGGATGCCTGTGAGGGCAGAGGCATGTATACGTTGTTTATTATTTACCTGAAATAGTTTTACCAAGCTGCATACTCTCAAGGAAGCGAAGATGGTTTTTATTGGAAAAATTTATGGTCCTAGGAAGCAGGGATAATAGCAAAGTCAGCACATTGAGCATTAGATTTGCTTTGAATTCTCAAATTATTATTTTAATATGTTTTGACCTTGTAGGTCATGAACTTTGACATGGAACAGGAGGGCATGAGGAATCAACTGATGCAGCTAAACAGCTTGATGCAGATTGTGGATCCCAAGCTGTACAGCTACCTCCGTAAGGATTAAAGCCTGCTCGTTATTTTGAACTGAACTTTTAGTCAATTTGAAAATTTCAACTTTGAATATGGATTGACAGAAGAGACACCTTGTGTTGTGTCTGCTTTTATAGAAAATATGTGTTGTGGCCATTTTCGTGTCAAATTTTCGGAGTGGTTGATTTGAAGTAAGTCCACCGAACTCATTTTTAAACGGTGTAATCAGTGTAGAAGATTACATCCTTCTTTTTAAAAATAATTCTGCAAAATGTAGTTTGGACTTTTGATGTTTGTTACATAGAATCCAAGGAGTGCAGCAATCTTTACTTCTGCTTCCGGTGGCTGCTCATCTGGTTCAAGAGGGAATTCCCCATGGAGGACGTCTGCGCAATCTGGGAGGTGAATTGACTGTGTTCAGCTCTTCTCCTTTGCTTATTTGGATTATTTCCCCAATAGAGCGATTTCCAAAATGAGAGTATGACCATGTCTGCATTACTTGGCTGTGGCTTGAAATTACACACAACTCTATGGGAAGTTGCCACAGTCACAACCATAGACTCCTGGGTACTTTTAAGCCGCAACCAAGTAATTCGGACACAGCCTTTCTTTCTTAGCTCTCAAGCACTCAACACTATCTTCCACGTTTTTCTCTCTGCCTTGCTGTGCTTGATGTATAAGCTCATTTATGCCACAAATCATTTTGAAAGTGAGAGCCTTGAGGCCTCATTTTACTACTTGTTGCAGCAAGGTCATGTAGTGTACATGCATTGTGGTCTATCTCAGTATGGTAGTGGCGGCAGTCAGTATAAACGGCGTCCGGCTACATGACCATTTCTATAACTGCAGGTCATGTGGACGGGCCTCCCCTGTAAGAATTTCCACTTGCTGATGTGCCTGGCCATCCTGGATGGAGAGCGAGACCTGCTGGAGAGGGAGAACTTTGACTTCAGCGACATTTTGAAGGTAAATCCAGAATCTCTTGACTGACGGAATCAAGTTAAAAAGAAAAGGAAAGCTAAGACCTGTTGCACAAGGGAACAAAAATGTAAAACATTGCAGGATTTAGCAGAAAGAGAATCATTGTTATAGTCCAGTCTGCCTGTGATTCCTGTGAAAAGAAGGGGAAAAAAAATTGAAAAATTCAAGTCCCTGTGAGAGCCCAAAACTGAGAAAAATAGGCGCTAATGTCTGGAGTAGACTGAAACTCAGACTTGGCTGTAGACATCAGCATGCATTTATCTCAGTGTCATCAAGGAGTTGTGCCTAATGTTGCAAAAGTCCATTCTCACAAAATTTTGACAAAAGTCAAACTCCATCAAGACCCTACGGGACACAGAGAGAGTGCATGAAACTAGGTTTCTATATCAGAATTCTCTTGGATTTGAACTGTTTCTGTGGGAAATTGAAGTTGGTAGCTGTTACTATGACAGTTATACTTTTCAGCATCCAGGTGTAAGTCCAGATAAACAAATGGAAATAACCTTGAGGGCCCTTCGAATGTAACACGTAAACAAAAGCCAACTTCTTCCATCATTACCAGATCAAATCTGTCATCTTTTTTTATCCCCTTGACATCAGCACGTGAACGAGCTGTCATGCCACATGGATGCTGGCAAAATCCTCCAGACAGCGGAAGCGATCTACCTCCAGCTCTTTGAGTACCCGGATCTCCCGCCCACCCTCCGAGAGGTGATTGGGCTGGCCACGGAGGAGAACGGCACTGTTGAGAATGGGTCCCACGGCTCCGAGAGCAGCATCGAGGTACTCGCTGACCCCTCGGATTAAGAAAGGAAAAGTGGGGAGGGGGGGCAGGTGGACTGTCTGTTAGTCCTGTTGTTTGTGTGTGGTCTTTTTGAAGCATGTGACCTGGTCCTAATATCTGTAATCTTGTCGAAGGGAAACACCTGCAAACTTACAATTTGTTTTGGAGTATACCCTAGAGAATAGCAGCCCGGCGGAAATTCGGTGTCCAAGTTAGAAATGTCTGGAATACCAGTTGGGAATGTTTGCCTGTGTATATGCACACTTAAGAAAAGCTCATTCCATTCAAGGGAAGATCCAGAAATGAAAACCTTGCATTATTTGTAAAACTTTGTTTCGTTGTTGGGGGTCATGGCCTCTGTTGGCCCTCTGCCAGATCTGCTTATGGTTCCATTTTGTAACATACTCCTTTCCTTTGGTAATGCCTCGTGTTTGAAATTGGGAATTCCTAATGGAGCAGAAATGTTCCAAATTTTAAGACTGGGGTTGCTGACTGTTCCTTGCTAAACAGGATTTACCTCAGATGTGACCATGCAGTAGATTTGTTTGTAACGAACGGCAAAGTTCACATGCATGACAAGTGTACAGTGTCGCTTTGGTAAGCTTACATTTTGCAAGGGCAGTGAAATTAGAGCCCACTATCACTTTAAAATATGTGATATCCCCCAGCGTGGCTGTGAAATTAACATTTTTGTGATGCCTGTGCAGTTCCAGAAAAGAGTGAGATATGGGTCATAATGCTACAACAGATCAAAGTACTGCGTATAATCATGGCATTGTTAATCGTTCCCCAAATTATGTACTGGAACAACAAATACGGGGTATTAGGGAACAAAGTTGTATCTGATAATTTTACAAAATTGAACAAAATGCCTGTTAAAAGCCAGATTACTGAAATTATATCAAAGTGTACTAAAAAAAGGAATTACAGTTCAAATTCATATACATGTGTACATGTAAAATGTATCCAACACAGTAATCTTTCAACTGTCTGTGGCAACCTAGCATTGCATTTAAAAGATAAGTGAAGCTGTTTAACATTTCCAAATGTACATTTCCAGATTCATGACAAGACTGTTTTGACAATCTTCTGGTATGGTGGAGCCAAGCCAGCAACTCACACAAGTTAAAATTGAAAGTAGCGAGTATCACTGCTCCATTGTTCAGTTCACCTTGCATGAGTCAGAATATTGGTAATCTTGTCACATGACCAGTTTTCAATTCACAAAATAGTTAAGTGTGATTGATCTGTGATGTCAAGGTAGCAGCTAAAAATCTCAAGCTTATTTGTCTCATAAACTCACATGCACTCAAGATGCATTAATTTTTAAGTTAACTTCATAATTTCTGTTGTTTTTGTTTCATCGTAGGCATCTTGATTCTTTTTTCAAAATAAGCCCGCAGGTCATACAGTGTTTAAATGACATATGACATCCAGCCCGCAGGTCATACAGTGTTTAAATGACATATGACATCCAGCCTGCAGGTCATACAGTGTTTAAATGACATATGACATCCAGCCTGCAGGTCATATAGTGTTTAAATGACATATGACATCCAGCCCGCAGGTCATACAGTGTTTAAATGACATATGACATCCAGCCCGCAGGTCATACAGTGTTTAAGTGACGTGTGACATCCAGCCCGCAGGTCATACAGTGTTTAAGTGACATGTGACATCCAGCCCGCAGGTCGTACAGTGTTTAAATGACATATGACATCCAGTTATTCAATCAGGTTGTAGATTCCACAAATTGTGGGATAGGTAATACATTGTGCTTTCGGGCAGGTTCATGCTTATGGCCAATGCAGTTTTACAACATATTAAATGTGCACACACTGCAAATAGAGGACATTTCAACTCAAGCAAAATACGCTACAAAACGTTTCATGGTGTCAAAAGTTTGCCTCACTTCTGGCTTTGCCTGAAGTGGGAGGAGTCCTCTAATCCTGACAACCTGCTTAATTTTGCTGGAAATCAGAGCTTCAAACTGCAAGTAAAGATGCAGTGCCTGAGCTGTACTTTCGTCAATTCTGTAAAAGCCTCTAAAAGGGGTAGGATCTGGGAGGATCGGAACTTGTTGGAATTGGAACTTGTTTCACATGATAATAAATGTGAGCCGAAACAGAAGGGACTAGATCTTTCTCATGCATTTATTGAACAGGTTGTGTCATTTACAAGATTTCCCCCTCAAACTATGGCTGTGTTAATTTGTGCAAGAACAGAGTTGCAAATGCAAACACGTGGAAAGCGTTTAAATCGCATTCAATTTGTTACTGAGATGTTACATTTCGTGGTATTTTTGAATACTTCCACTGGAAACTATTGGAGAAAACAGAACAAAACAAAGATGCCCCCTCGAAACAAACATGAAAACAGACTGTCAGAAAATTTGTCTCAAACACCTGTATATACATTGTACAGAATGAAATGCTATCAGATGCTCCATTGTTTTTAATAAGTAGCCATCACTTTTTTGGATTATTTATTTTCCTTTGTAAGAGATTGAATGTTGTTTGCAGTCTTTGACAGGCATTTGTTGAGTAGCCCAAATTTGTAACAGACACAAGAAAAAGTCAGCGTACGTTGACAGAGCTGGATAATTATTTTTCAGCCTTTGTGTAATGATATAGCATTTGATAAGTAGTGTCTTCTCGCATGTACAATATATTCTCTTTGAAATAAGGGAGAAAATTTTCTATAATATGTACCCGGGCACCAGACGTAACACCCCAAAATCACCAAGCAGTTATGGATCTAGACTCACGGTGTCATCATTTTGGCTCTACAAGTTGCATACTTTCCATCATTAAATATAGACCTTTGACTGGATTGCTCTAAATGTAATAGAATACCACCACGTGTGGACCACCGTAGCCATGGTGATCACACGTATTCCTATGGGTAACTTCAACTGTGGATGCTGCATGCTTGACTAGTTTATCTTGAATAAGTAGATTACCATCACAACACTATGCACTCATTACCATCACAACACATTGTGGTCCAGCACAATTATGACATCACAGGAAAGAGGTCTGTTGCTTCCTGAATTAACAAGTTAGTATTAAGATATGCAAAACGTGAATCAGCTAGCACCAGTGGTGTAATGGGGGATGGGGAGGGGGGAACAATGGAAGTCTGTGCCCCCAGGTGTCTCCTCCCCCCCATATGAAATTTTGAAATGTACCCAACCTATGTTAACCCCAGTGCGTCAGCTTTCGCTGCCCCTAACAGCTGTGAATTCCCAGGTGCTCTTTGGAATTTCATCTGAGTTGCGCCACTGCTCAGAGCAATCATGAATGTGCATCGAGTTGACACCTTCAGTAAAACAAAAGAAGGCACTACTTTTGTAAAGATAATTAGAGGTAAATGTAAAGCTTGTCTGAAGAAATTATTTTGTACAAGAGCTGAGAGTCGACTTATTACAATAAACTTGCAGCCTGGCAGTAAAATTAACAGTAGTATGACATAAAATTTTCTTGAATTTTATTTTTGAAGAGTTGCATGTCTGGAAGCGTATGGCAACTGACTTATAAAAATACACAGTTCTGGTGAACTTTGTTGTAAAGAGATGTTGCAGCACAAAACTGCAAGTTTTTGTGTTAATTGTCATTTTGCTATAATCACCTTTATTTTTTATCTAAAATCTGAGTGTTTCATCCTGCTATACACTATTGGTGCTCTAGACAGCTAGCTAGTGATGCTCTAGTAATGGTGAAAAACATCGCCAGTAACGACCAGATGTCTGTTTGGCTCTATGTAGACAAGGCAACTTTTTCTCAGACAACTAGGAGGCAACTGATTGCACAGCAAGCTGAAGAAATGAACTATCAGGGGATAGGATTTCTGCCAGAATTTGAAATTGAGTGTCCAAAGGTGTGACTTGACAAAACCGGGTGAGGGCTTCTGACCAGCAGAAGTTTTCATGCTTTTTACATTTGTATCCAACAAAGTGGTGGTGCTACAGAAAACTCTCTAGACACCCCACTTATTATAAAACTCTTGCAGGGAGACCAAAGTGCATGTTTTTTTCTGACATTTCATGGAAATTCTTCAGTAAATCATGGGAAATTGAAGTGTCTTGGGGAAAGTTCATGACGCCAGTTTCCTATGATTGACCTATTGGGCATGTTCGAGCGAGCTACTCGTGTTTACACGAGTATACTCCTGAGCGCTCGAATGGCTGGAGTACGACTCGTTGGTCAGCGAGAGTATATGTGGGAGTATATACCTACACCTGAGTGTAATGCGCACGCATCCTACTCATGTTAACAGGAGTAACAACGCGAACGCACCCTGTATGACATAATCCTTATACTACAAGTAGTATTGGCCTGTGACTGAAATCGGTCAATTGTCATTTGTTAAAAACTTTGCATAAGGGTCAATAATAAGGATGGAGAGGTTGAGACAGAACTAGAGACGACATTGTTCATTACTTCTACATTTCTCAAAAGATGGAAAATCATGCTTGCATATTTACATGTACGTGAATGTAACAGTGCATGATGCGAAATCAATAACAAGTAATGCCAAAAAACATCTAAAGCTGACTTTTGACGTTGCCAATCTAAAGATAATATTTGGATCTTATCATTTTTATACCTTGTCAAACTGCATGCCAAACAGCGGCGATATTACATATTGCAGCTTTGTTTTAAATCTGTATGGAACCTTCTAACAAATTAATTTACACCGACTCCCTGAGCATTGTGCAGTGAAACAAATATTCACCTTTTGGTCTTGTTTAATCGAAAGAGGAATATTGAGCCCTAATTTAAAGTTATTATAGCTTGGCTGAAAGGTCAGATTCTATCAAATCCCTGCAAATAAACCACTGCATTCAAGTTTGTAGGATTTGGGAGGCATGTCATCTTTTATCTCAGCTGCCTTTCAAAGTAGGAAAAAAGTGCCTAACAAGTCCAACATTACCATACCATCGTTCATTGTTCTTTACTGAATTTAACTCAGTTTTTCCTGATTTTTTTTCTGTTAAAATCGACTCAGAAATTTTCCCCAGTTGAGCAACTCTGTTAATTAACTCTGGCCCGAGTAAAATGGTCACCTGATTTCATATTATTTTCAGGGAACATACATTTATTCTGAGATCATGATTTCCCCTTAGATGATTTTTTTCAAACTCACAACTTATCACAGGGCATTGTAAGCTGTCATGTTTTGCAAACAGGCCAAACACTGAAGCAAATAAGTGTTGACAATTATCCACTTTCATGTAGTTCTTATTGCCTACATATAGTTCCTCAGAATGTGGCAGAATTCGGGCCAGAATTTGTTATTGCGTGTACATATACTTCTGTTATCCAGATTTTTATGGGCAGTTTCATTCAGCAAGTGAACAAAGTTTCTAAGCAAGAAAAGTTTAGCATCGCAAGAATAACTTACCAGCCCCAACTTTTATATGTTGTGCAGCTTTTCAGTCTTATTTACCATTGCTTCACAAGCACTTTCCACCAATAGTCTCAAGTGCTTTCACAAGCACCTGCTGTACTTGCAGTGAGTGAAAACTATCTGAGGAATGTCTTTGCAGCAGTTTTACACGGATAGCTCGTGGCTCTCATCGTGCTTGTGGAGACATTTGAACAATTGTGGAACAATTTTGAGTACATATGTACATGTACCAGTACTTGGCAGTACTTGTGAGGTGCTTGTGAAGTACTTGTGAGGTACTTATGCTGTGGGTGTGAAGTACTTGTCAGGTGCTTGTGAAGTACTTGTGAGGTACTTGTCAAATACTTAGAGTTCTTGTCATATACTTGACTACACCACTGTAGCTTGGGAATTTTTTCCAGCTAAATTTATGTTTGACAAGTTGAAATGTGTCTGCCGAATTGCTCGGATACCAAGCTCCTCATGCCCAGAAGCTGTACATGAACACGGCAATGCACAAGACAATCATCAGGAAGATGTTGAGGATGGCCTTCTGGAACTTGGTCTGGTGGAGCTTGGCTAGGAGCTTGAGTTCCTCCGCCCTCTTCTGCTCCTCCGTCATCTCGGCCTCGGGGTCATTGGTGGAGAAACCACAGAACCAGTCATAGAACTTGCGGAAGAGGGAGTGATGCTCAGCTTCACTAGAGCCCGACTCTGCAAGAGAGATGCGACGTTCAATCGAATTAAGGGTTACAATTCAGATGGCTTATTTGAAACCTGGACAATATTTTTCTCTTCTTTAGTGTTGAACAGACTTAGCCTTATTGACTTTGCGTGTGTTCACTTTGGGGTTCTTTGCAATCCAGCTACAGAAGCTTTTCTGGCAGGCATTCCCATCAACAAGATCCATTCCACGACAGTACTGCCTGTTTTTTGTGTCACCTAGCAACCAGATTCGTAATTTTGCTGAGTGATAATAATTTTGTTTTATTTTTGGGTTTTTTTTTGTCATTAATAAGTTTGCCATTGTTTGAAGGGAGGGGTCAAGTCAAGCAACGGTCATTTGTTGATCGCTGGTCAGTTCCACAGGTTCTCAAGAAAAATCTGCCAGTGCTTGACAATTTCGTCCAACTTGCCCAATGGCCTAGAGCTGGACCAAGAGAGGGCACTATTTCCTTGGCAACGGAGGCTTCCTTTAGTACTACTGTGCATTGCTGGTTCATTAACAACAAGGCAATGCAAGCATTGCAGTCACATTGCTACCAACAGAATGAATACTCCCAACCAACATGACACTTCAACCGATGAGGGGATGCTTCTGCTGCAGGTGGATAGGGCAAGCTGCACAGGGTTCATTTTTCACTGTGTGCCATGCTTCTGAATCAGCATGATAAGAGTATGATCAGGGTATGGTGCATGTTCTCGAAAGGAAAAAAAAAAAGTTCTCATTTGAATTTGTTTTCTGTACTCACTCGCCCCAGTGTGCACTGGAATGTACATGATTTGGCATGCATGAAAAAAGCCATGCTCTCCCTTATGTGGTCGTTGGCAACATATTAGGCAGATACTATTGTGCTGTGCTTGAAGAGAATTTTATGTGCTGTGGTGTGCTTAGCAGCTTAGATGTAGACCTGTTTCTGCTTACCAGATCGGCTGATGCTTAAATCATCCGGTGCCTCCAAGCCGTTTTCCTTTTTGTCATAATTGCCCTTCTCATCATAGGTGGGGGGCTCCTCAGCCATCTCTCCTTTGTGCACTTCGATCACGTCCATCGCGATATTGTCCATGCCTTGTTCAAAGTCCGAGTTGAAGGATCCCTTGCGTCTATAGACATTAATCTCTTCCTTTGCGTTATTGTCCTTGCTATGTTCTTTGTTGGAGGAGGTGAAGGACCCCTTGCGTCCATAGATGAAGTCGTTGATGTCCTGGCGCTCTTTGGTGTTAAAGCGAGTGAAGTAAGTCAGGCGATAGAGCTGGGGAGAGGGACAGGGAAAATGTTTGGAGACTGTTTTGAGGAAAGATTTTATCAAATGTGACATCTTATGCTGTGATGTCTCTGAGAAGCGTTTACCACACCTCATATGTGTTCATGAGTAAGAGCTGAATTGTCATCAGTTGGTCAATTTAAAGACTCCGCATGTTGACTTAGTTTCTACCAGCAGGCAAGACGTCTCGACAGAGGTCCACTTACGTAATGTGGGGGCACTTTCTCAGTCATGTAGCTGATGCAGATGGCCACCAGGCAAGTCAGGCCAAAGAGCAGCAGTGCAAAATACATATAATGGAACAGAATCTTCTGCACCACCACCGGCCGTTCATCTGGCTGGCCACACCCGGGGCTGGCATAGACAAAGTCCAGGATCATGCGTGTCAGGCCTACAGCCAGCCCTACCATGAGTGACCAGAATGCACCCTAGAAACAATGTGAAAAGAAGATTCAATAGTGCCATCTTGAATGTATGGATTCAGTGGAAGACCTGCTGAGTCACCTACTCCTGAGAATAAAAGATGGAGTAAACAATACTCATTGAATCTTGTTGATGCGCTCCCATAGGATAGCCAGTAACAGATTACTGGTTTTCAACAGAATGTGTACAAAACCAATGCATCAGAGGAAAAATGGTGCCATTAAGTTATTAAATTTGAACCCCCACCTGCTCGTTGATGCGCTCCCATAGGATAGCCAGGATGAAGACAGCAGCAATGGGTGGAGACAGATAGGCAGAGATCTGCTGGATATACTGGAAGAGCTGGCCCTGCTGCGAGGACTGGACCACTGGCACCCAAAGAATGCTGACACCCACAAGCACCAGAACGAACACTCTGGAACATTGGAAACAGAAGTTTTTGTTTTCATCCTGAAAGCCTACCCTTGCAGCATAGATGCAGGCGCTGATCCCTCGGGGTCGCAGTCAAGGCCATCACAAGACCAGACACCGTGAAGGTCAGACACATGAACATTCACAACAACACCAGTCACAAGACCGGACATAACATCAGTCACCAGACCAGTCACAAGCAACAGTGTAAATTATGACCAATGAATGCCTTTGTTGCAGTTCATCTGAATAGCCTGTGACTTTTGTTGGTCTTGTGATGCCTGTGATGGGGTCCTCTGACGATCTCAAGAGATTTTGACTACATCACTGCTACATCCCCACCCCCCAAAAACCCTGCTGCTTTGAAGCACTCTTCAAGATGACCAGTTGACTTTCCTTCTGTTCAAACTCTTTCTTTACAATCCAGTTTATTACACTTTCTTCAAAGCCATCACCACCTCTTTTTATGATCTCTGAGTCATTGTTGAGTCAGTTTGTGATCACTTTTAGCTGGCATCGTGGATCATGACATTGTATTCCCTGGCCTACTCTTTTACTCTTTTACCTCCATTTTGTCTGCAACACCTCAGCACCACCAGAATGAGCCAGTTCAGTTTTCCAAAAAAAGCAAGATCATTCAAGGTCATTTGGCATATGGCTGCATTAATACGACAAAATGTCGCCCACGCGTGTTCCTGATCCCAAATGACTTCTGATGCACATCAGTTAAGGCATGCGCTGTTGAAATACTAAACTGGCTTGTATCTCCCAGCTCGGTGCCACCAGACCACCTGACGGGGAAAGCTTCCCCCCCCCCTTACCGTCCAACAATCATGAGTTCCAGTTCCCACCGGCGCCGGGTCTTCTTGTCCAGCGAGCGCATCTTCTCATCGCTGGGGAAGCTGCGGAGTTTGCGCCAGACGTCCATGGTGAAAATAGTGCTACCGCTGTTGAAGATGGAGGTCAGAGAGCTCATGAGAGCTGAGAGCATCACGGCCAGCATCAAACCCCTCAGTCCTTGGAAACAAGAAGAAGTGTTCTAAGTCATCTTTTAATGTGGTACTTTATAAGTTAATACTATGGACGACATGAAGACGTGTGAAGGTAGCAAACATACAGTACCACACAAATAGTCCACTATAAGTTGTGTCACACTTGAGCTAATGTACGCATTCTCAAAATGGTGCAAACAATATCAGACTGATGATGTGGGACTGGCATAAGCACCTCAAAAGTCTCCCACTGCTTTAAGTTGTTATTCGCTATCAAAAGTACTTCTGCAGTGCCCAAATCTTGAATTAGGCCACAAATCACTAGATCATATGAACTGATTGTGTTTGCCCACGGTTAGTAGTCACAGTATTTGTGAAAGTGCTTGTGCAAATGAGAAATTTGTGTAGCGAAAAATTAAGCCCTTTTTGTAAATGATTGATGCTTAATGATATTTTGTGGCAATCAAACAAAACGTTACCCTTTTTTTGTCTGCATTTTACCAAAATTATTTCTAAGAGTTGTCTGGCAAATATCCCTAGTTTTTGTGAAAACTAGAAAGAGTCAACTTCTTGGCTAAGAATGCCAGGCTCTTTTCATATTTTTAGATCAGTTTACAAACCAAAAGTTTGTATGTTTCAAGTTGTTTTGGAAAATGCATGTTAAAAAGATAAGTAGAATGACAATGTTTGGCAATGTTTGGCATGGGTGTGAAGAGTAAATGTGGTGAAAAAAAACTAACTTATATGTTTTGAAACTATTGCGATTTTTCTGATATTGTGTTGCATCTAGAACTGTGATTGGACGATACATACCTGTTGCACAGCCCGAAGTGTGGAGGGTTGTACCTTACCTGTTGGCAGGATATCCATGACTAGGAGTGGGTAGGCCAAGTTAGAGCAGCCTGCTTCGCTGTTGCAGACAGCCATGCATGTGGCAGGGTCAGCACAGCCAACTATGTCTAAAAAATCATCATTCAGCTGGTTTAAGTTTTTTTTTCCTCGCCGTGCTTGGTTGGCCTATTTTTTGGAGGCTTGAAACAATTGACCAGACATCGCTCGGTTCAACTTGAGCATTGAAACGTGCTCACAGGGAAAAGGGAGCAACACTGCTTGTTGGGCCACAGCACTGATGAAATGTAAATGAACTTGATACACATCCGGCACTGTTTGGAGAGCGCGTGCAAAGAAAGAGTCACACGGTTACTGGGTCTTGAGCCCACAAGCTCCCGCTTACGAGCACAGGCTCTTGATGTGACCAATGGGCTGTTGGGTACTGCAATTCAATGACATTTTGTGGCTTATTTTGAAACCAGGGTGGTTGATGTTGATCTGAAATTTACTTCACCCTGACACCAAACAAATTCCATGGAGGACATTTTGTCTCCTTGTTGAGAAAAATGGAAAATCTCATATCTTAACTTCCACCAACCAATGGGGTTGAATCTATTTGTTACTATTTTGTTTTAAAAGGTATTTCCATATCATAAAAGTATTGATAAAATCTGGGTTTATTTAAGCAGGAAAGGTCCCGTTTTTAAAATCCTCAATCTGCTTAGTTTAATTTATTCTGTTGGCTTATAAATATCCCCCCCATCTAATTGACAGGTTTAGATAGGTATTATTGTGATGTACATGTACCTACCTGGATAAAACACACGACTGATCATGCCGGGCATGACAATGAAGAACATGGGGGAAATCTTCAGGATACCAGCCATCAGGGTACCGCCTTGGCCATGGGAGAGGTTCTTGGCCGACAGAGCTCGTTGCACAATGACCTAAAGAGGGGGGGCCAAATACCAATTAAAAACATGGTTCTGGTGTCATCTGGAGCCATGGGTATGGCCAGGACTTTTTTTGGGGGGGGGAGGAGCAAGACAATGAACTCTTAAGGCAGCAAACTTATTCAGCACTTTGGTAGAAGGGGGGGGCTGATTTCAAGTAGTTGGTGCTTTTGATCCCCCTTTCCTCCTTTTTTTATTCCTATTTTCATTTTTTCCCTTTTTTCTGGGGGGGGGGAAGCACCTACCCTTCCCCTCACACTGCATGCCTAGAGCTGATTCGATGCTAAGCACACATGAAAAAAGATATCCCTTCAAAAGCTGGTCACCAAATGCAATATCTTGTTTAATGTTAAAGACTGGTTCTCTGTTGATATCTGCTTAGCAAAGATTTTTCATAAGCCCAGTTCTCTGCTTAGAAACTCGGAGTAATTGGGCCAGTTTTTGTAGCCACATACATGTAGGCCTATTTCTGAGATTCCGAGACTGACCTGGTCAGTGGCCCAGTACCATATGGATGCCACAGACTGTCCAAAGACAAAACCGGGCCAAGGCAACTCATCATCGGAGGGCTCCCTCAGCATGTGGAAAGAATCGTTGGGAGGTTTACCACACTCGTTAGTGGGGTCTAGTATGGAGATGTTGGCGTAAGCCGTCAGGTACTGCTCCTTCAGGCCCGCATACCCACCCACTTTAATAAAACCTGCGGATGAAATGGAGCTGGTAAGTTTAGACATGCTCCAATTTGTTCTTTCCTCATGACACCCATCATTAGTTCCATGATTCTCATATTGGGATGGTCAATCGGTCAGGGGAAATAGTGGGTTGCATCCTATTAACGTTATTTAGAGATCTTTTATGTATATCCACTTATATAACCTGATTTGGAAAGAAAGGTATTCTTTAAATAACATGGCCTCTCTCGTCTGTGCTGCGTATCAGCCATATTTTTGACCTTGTGTGAAGTTTTCATATTTGCTCCTGGTGTCAAGGTCCACCAACGAAGAAACTTCAGAGTAGTCAATTTATATACCCGAATTAAGGTGTATCCTTTCCATAAATGTCCACCAAACACTTGGTCAGTTGCGGTAAAATAAATGACCCTTGGTTGCTGAACCATTAGTACTGTGGCTAACTGTGAGTTTTGTGCTTTCCAAGTGTCGCCAACTACCTCCTGCTTTTTTGAGAATGTTACACCTGGTTTTTGCCTGCGATGCATTCTATTTTCCCATGGGGACTCCTGCTGAGTTTTTCACCAGTTTCTTTGTGCGGGTCGGTTTTTGTTTTGTGTTTCTTTTGTTAATTTATGATATGTGAGCTTGGGTTATGATCAGGGGATATTTAGCCGACGTCTCTTAAACTCACATTTGACATGAGCTTCCCAAAGTCCACCTGCTATCTTTCAGTATCTGCTATGTTCAAACACTGTCGGTGTGCAGTGTTGGCTCTCAATAGATAAACATTCAAACAAAATGTGGTTGTGTGTCAATATTTAACACAAATTCAGATATTAATCCGCCCATCGGTATTTTGGTGATCTAGCAAGAGTGCTGTAGCCAAGCTCAGCAAAATTATACACATGTCCAGGAAAGGTGTTCAAAACAGCGATGGTGAACTACCAGTTGTAATTGCTAGCAAGGATGTCCCCTTGACCAGTCTGTATAACCCGACAGACCTTTGGTCATTTTCCCCTTCAATTTTGAAGGGGGATGCGAGACGTGGCCCGACACTGCTGGACATGGTAGTGCTGATCATGGTGGCCTCTTTATATCGGCCATGTTACCAATTTTGCCAAAAGAATGGTGAAGGCGCGCGGGTGAGGGTACATCTGCCTCTAGTGGCTCTCAGGGCAGTTGCATATACGGGTCGCATTTTCTTGCCCAAAGTGCACACAAACAAGTTATATCGGTTGAGCCATTTTAGGAACTCACTGGGTCAACTACCGATGGGGATCTATATCATTTGCTCACAGATCACACCCCAACACCACCCTGCAATACTTTGTCGTTGTGACGGATGAGTCGAAGATTACCCCCCCCCCAAACAAAAATCGCAGACTCCTCCCATATTGCCAGGAATTCAACAGTGACACGACCACCGTAAAGTTTGGCAACAAGTAACTTATTCTCCTAGATCCAATCCTCATTTTGTTTTCAAAGAAAGCTGAATTTCACACTTGGCAAGTTAAAGAAATAGTTCCAATCCCTCGCACTCTGCCAATTCCTTGATTCTTTTTCTCAAATGTCACTTTTTTAAACAAAAAAAAATATGTCGCCAACTTACTCATCACGCAGAGTATTCCAGCACCAACCATCATGATGATTGCCTGAAGTGTGTCCGTGAAAATAACTGCCGCAAGGCCACCTTGTTTCAAGAAACAGAATACAACAAGAATTGAAATAAAAGAATAGCTAACATTGAAACTCAATCTGAACTGTGTTACAACTACACCACAATTAAGTTTCAGACAAACAGCAGCAGGAATTAGGACATGGGACATTAATCAAATCAACAAACCTGTTACAGTGTACAGCGCTGTGATGGCCAAGAGAGAAACAATAGCAACATAGAGATTCCATTTCAGGGCCTGCTCAATAAATAATGCTCCGGAGTATAGATCAACCTGGACAAAAATGTGAAAACGAAGTTTGATTTCATAAAATCACAGAAATACATCTTATAGAGAAAAAATATGAGAAAATTTTTTTCACTTTAAGTAAATAAGTTTTTACCTTGTTCAACTGCTTTTGCACATTTCAGTTGTTCAGTGAAGAGATGTGAAAAAAGTGTGATTAGTTGGATTAATGACGTTTTTATTTCTTTTCATCTTAATCTTCCTTCTCTTTTCGGGATAAAGCACGGAGTAGGTAGAAGGAGCAACCGGGGGGGGTACCCAAATTTTTCAGTGTGTTGTTTAACCCTCAGATAGTGGACGTTTCTTGTTGGAGTCCCAGCTCACCGATATTTTGGTGAAAATGTACAGGGTCAACGAGAGTAGGGCAGTGTACATCTGGATGCGTTTCCCGCCGAACCGCTTGCGGAGGTAGTCAGGCATGGTGAACACTCCGCCCGCCAAGTAGACGGGAAGAAACACCCATCCTAGTATCTGCACAATTATTAGGGCCTGAAGAAGAACCACATCATATTTAAATGAACAATTTGCATATTCATACACGTGAATGATACGGTTATCCATGGTAGGTATGTGGTTCACCTACCATAAAGATTTTGTACGCATGATTGTTTTCCTTGAGATGAACTGTTTATTTCTGGTTAACATTTCTGACTGCTATTCCCATCTAAACTTTAAATCATTCAAGTATACAAGAGAAGAATTAATGCAAATTGGCGAAAGCATCTCTCTGTTTTCCATTGAAAAAAATTACGCAATGCAGATTTTCAGTTAAACTTTTCGATAAATACACAGCTATTTTTACATTGAGTTCGAACGCTGCAACTGCTATGCCCGATGCTGCTCCTGAACCAGCCAGTCCAATGAAATGCTCACTACCGATGTTGCTCGCAAACAAGGAGGCTCCCACCTTCATCAAAATCAACAGAGTTGATAATTATGTAAGAAGAAAAATCAAACTAATCTGTACCAAGCCAAGCAATGAAAAAAAAATTATTCTATGGTACCTCTGATAAACCCCATTACAGCAATTACTTTACCCCTCTCCGCCCAAAAGCATCAAATCGTTTTTTTAATTTTTTTTTTAAATCGGGCCCTCTATGGAGTCCAACAACCCTACACTGAGACTTTGCATAAACCCGTCCAAAATTGATACAAAGGAAAGGTATCATGTTCGTCAGACCGTAGCTCTATGGTCAGACAACTGATAAGTACTGAACAAAGTATTTGAAAAGTTAATATTTACATGTACTTCGTTTTTATACACTTACAGGAAACCATAACATAGCGCCACCAGCAAGGAAGTATCCCTCGGTGCTGCCGCGGTTTGACCGGAACATAGACTGAACAGAAGGACAAGGCCAGAAAAATGTTGTCAGTTTTGGCGGGAAAAATTATCTCATGAAGAGGACAATAGACCAATGGGTTTTTGATTTATTATAGCTTACTAGTTCGTACTATTTTGCAACAGTTTTAGAAGCACTTAAAGATTTAGCCAACTGTACACCTTGTGCGTGTCTCGACTTAAACTTTAAGCCAATCAGAATGGCCGGAACGATGCACGAACATGTGACGTGCACAGGGATGTCGGGATTTTCCCCACTTTCTTGGCTTCGTTGAAGCTGCTACATCAGGCTTAAAGTTTTATCTAATTCTCTCATACAACTCCAAGCTGTACGTTACTCCGATTGTTTCAAACGAAACATCAACTGGTCAGATGCTGCACAAACCTCTGAAGTATTTCCATTTGTTTCCTAAAGAGTAACTGGTAAACGTTTGAAGATTTGACGATGGAAGGTGAAAAGAGAAAACTTTGGAAGGCACCGAGACTGCGCCCCAAAATATGGCAAATGACTTCGGGACGAGGTGAAACCACGGGCCACTTAATAACAAAGTGCTGCCACTCTTTCCGTCCTACTATAACAACTTTGCGGTACGCCAATTTTCCCAATCATAGTTCCATTTCGTAGCCTCCATCATGCATGCAAACGTTCTTGAAACATCTACCCCGGGAACTCGACATGATATTGTGACCCTGGCGACGTGCTGGGTAGTTTGCTATGTGGTCTTCACGCGTGATTTTTCCATCATGCATTAATTTCCTCAAGGCTAGATAAGGTAGGAGTTATGCTGATAAATTCTGCAAACATACAGAGGTTGCCAAGCATCTTCTGCTTGCATAACAAGGGAAAACGTGCACAATTCAGTTTCTCTCATGTGTGAATTGGTTTCACAACTGAGTACACTAAATAATCCGACGGCTGATTGAGTACAAAGATTGTCATGTAGCCCTTGCAACGCTAGAACATTTGAGTCATGGATAAGTGACCCACGATTGCATCTTCCAGTTTTCCAATGTTCAGCTTCCTGTTGCAGCTGGAGATCCAAACGACAATCGCAGTGAAACTGCAACGTTTTGAGAGGTGGAAAACATCGGGAAATCGCTTTGCTACGACAACATTGCAAAACCTACAATTTTGGGTTTGGTTGATCAAAAGCCATGCGAATTGATTGGCCATGCACGGCCCTCATTTCCGCGTGAATCGAATTCCGCGAAGAAATGGAAGAGGGGCAGTTATATACATTAAAACGGGGGCATGATTTATAGCTGATTCATTGACAGTTATACCGCAAACAAAATTAATACAATTCAAGTTGGACACTAGATGTTGAATCAAACATTTCGCCGAGTTAGACGCACCTCATGTATTGCATGGCCTATGTTGGCAGAACCTTCAATATTCACATACGCATTGTTGGGCCGGCCAAGTTCCTACATATTTTACCATATTCCAAGTCATGAAGTTTTAAATTGTTAGAGTATAAAAACACATCATTTTTAATCGTATTTGGACCCTGATTTTAATTTCACCGCATCCACCCTAAGGCAAGATTGTTCACTTTGGAGAAGCTCTTGGGGCAAACGGGCTCTGTGCCCCCCCCCAGGAGCTTTTGTTTGCTTGTTTGTATACTTATGTCTTTATCGTTGAAAAAGGGGGAATAGGCGATTGTGTTTCTTCTCCTTCCAAAAACGTGTAAAAAGTTCCTCAATGTAGCCTCACCCCTCAGAAAAGTCATTAAAGGTTGCATAAAATATTCCTAATGCCCCCTCCCCAAATTTGCCGGACTCTCGTGTGTCTGAGGATTTGAAACTCTGCACGAACATTTCCCGAGCTGTAGAAATTGATTAAATCGATCGGAACATACAAAACAAAACAAAACAAAAACATGTGAGACTGTCAAAGAGAAGATATCTTTTGAAATATTTGCGACCGAAAAAAGGGGGTTGTACTTTTCAGATTTTTAGGGAGCCTGAACCTAACCCGCCTCCCCAGGCGCAGATTTGGGGGCGGGGAGTGGAACCCCTCCCCGCTCTCGGACAAAAAAGGTAAACAGTGGGAAAATAATAGGAAATAACTAAAGTAAGTACACCAATACCATTGTAAACAATGTATATCATGTGTAACGTTTCATCATCGTTTCCGCTTGCTCGAAAAAAAAGAGACATTAAAAAAAAAGGAACTTTGGCTTGACCCCCCCCCATGCTGTGAGTCCTTTCCATACCGAGCTGGTACTCGCAACAGTGCTGGCTTACCTGCCCGAGCCTGTTGTACATTTAGGGGTGAAGTCCTCCCCACCCATAAGCTGCTGCTGTGGGGGGAGAGACGTCACAACACGCTAAGAATCAGCGCCAATATTCATTTAACAAAGAAACTCACCCCAAGTCCAACTAACAAGACGAACAGAAAGTAAAGCCCAATCACAACAAAGTCCCATGTCTGGAGTTCCTGCAGCGTGGGAGCTGCCATGGTGGTATAAACGCAACCCCCTTCAGGTGCCGCTCGAGTATTCTGTAAATCACCAGTGCGTTTACTACCCTCGACCTGTGGGTTAACATCCAGAGTTCCAGAAAAAAAATCCACGTTATTGTTTGCCGCTTTTGCTTACTGAAGACGGCTTATCTTGACACTGTTTGCGATTCTGCTCGGTATTACGGATTATTTGTTTTAGGTGGATAAAAAAGGGCATGTGTTCAAACGAAGCTGAAATGATGAATGTGAAGTAAAGGGTCCATATTATTTATTAACACACGCCCCGAAAACCTTTCACCTTGTTTGAGGTGACTGTTGAAGTTGCAATGGGTAACATTAATATTCTTGGAGCGTGCGTTAATACACATAAAGACTCCGCCCCCCCCCCCAATTTCACCATACATGTAACTTGTCACACTAATACAAGGGCACCTCGTTCGTTTGTGCACCTCGTTCAAAGGGCCTTATGCACGGGTCGACAGGTGTATCCCAGATCAACATTTTCAGCTTAGACGATTTGTGACTAATGGCAGCACTGTAGGAACCAATATATGGATTATGACGAGGTCCAGGAATTCGAGGAGGATTTCAATCAGAAGGCAATTAGATTGTTGAAGGAATACTAATTTCCATTAATGCACACTCGTGGGCGGGGCTGGTAGGGGCTGTAAGCCTGGGACAAGGGCTTGGAGGGCCTATCATATTTTGTATCTCTAAGACACTGGCACACTGAAACCATGGACTGTGAGGAATAAGAATCCTCAGTACTGACACTAATAGTGAGAAAAAGCGAATGTTTTTGAGGGGCTCTATGTCACTTCGTTTCCTCCCAAGAGCGTGTAAAAAGCACCACAATGTACCCTAAACGCTCAGAAAAGCGATCATAAAAGCTTTCATAAAAATCAACTACTTCCCCGGTCCAAAAAAGGGAAGCAAGCAAGCAAACAAACTAACGATATCCCCTACCCCCCCCCCCCCCCAATTTGGTTCAGGATTCGCCAGCCAAATAAATAGCTGGCTGGACGACAATCTGCTTTTGGAAAGTGCGTGCCGCAGCACCATTTGAGGGCGCACTTTTCAGTGAGCCAATATGGCAGCCGTCATGGAGGGATTCACGGGCAAATTCTGCAGGACATTAAACTTAGCTCGCTTTTCACTGAACAGCTATCAGAAGGGGATGCAATCCATGAAACTTTTTCGTGAGTATTATTGACCCGTTTCTTAATTTGATTGTAAGACCTCCAGCAGTCCTTTAACGAAAGTTAGTACTGCTGAATCAGTCATGACATTCGTCATTGCCGTAACTTAGTATAACTTATACTAGGCTAGGCCTAACATCGCGTCGACATGCTTGAATCTGAACGGAGCTGAACAGTTAGCAGAAAAATCATGCTAACTTTAGCAGAAAAGTTGCCAAAATTAAGCACTATTTCCCGGCGACGCTTGGCCTGGTTAAACAGTTTGCGAGGGCATAGCATAGAGATTTCTATTTTTACGTCAGTAAGACATAAAGACATAAAATTTACATTAACCCTAACCATGCTGAACCCATCAGCATTGTGCAGGATTTCAGTGGTTCCTAGGCTAGGGGGTTAGGGGTATGCTCAACTATGTAACATTAGGCCTAACTGTTGGCAAATCTTTCCTAGACTGAGTATTGGCAGTGCTTGCTGCTGACGGTCTCCATTAAAATGTGCGGAGCCTTTGTAAGTGTGAAATCACATGACTCAGCAGCGCTGTAAAACTGGGCCCATGTGAACATTATATGTAACCTGTCATGCCTGTTTAATTAGACATCATTTAATTCACACATCTTGCCTAGACCATGTAGGCCCAGGGGCAGGTCAGGCTATACAGAACAGCCAATACCTACCTTGAGGACTATAGCGCATTTATCAATCATTTAAGTAATTGCAAGGTGAATCAGTCCAAAATTACCTTTGCTTTAGCCAGGTTTGAGCATGTTGAGAAATGTTCCCAGTTAAACAGTTCAATGCAATGATCGAGGGATAGAGCCTATAAACCTTTTCGGCATTCTAATTACATCATTGGATTGGATGACAAGCCATGCATTTTAATTTTTATGCATGAACCAACAACAGAGGAAGTGAACTAGTCAAAAATCAAGTTATAAGTTTCTTCTGAATGTTTTTGAAGAACCAGCTTATCAAGTCGGAGATAGATGCATACAGGAAACATTTTCAAAGTAACAAATTTTCAAAAGTCTGCAATGGCCTGGGATACTTCTGTTGACTTCATGAGGCCCCTTGAACGAAGTTTAGATACAAACTCACAAGAAGCACTCCTTTGTTACTATAGGCTGAATCATGAATGTGATTGGTCAATGTGGGATGAATGAGCCTCAAGTTATGATTCTGATTGGCTAGTACTAGCTCATTGGAATTCATGATCTTAGTCCAGGAGAGAAACTGGCGTTCATGGCAGGCATTCCCCAAATTTTCTTTTTTTCCTAGTTCGTTGTAAAGTTTTACTTTCATGAATAACTATCCCAAAACCTACATGTACAATTCAACAAGCTGTGAAAACAGGATAGCTTGATTTTGAGTAAGTGGTGAAGTGGACACAATGTTTTGCAGGTATGTTTCTTCCATAGGCATGATAGGGTTTGCATAACAATCTATTTCTTGTAGGCCCTCGAATCCCATGATGGATTGCAAATGTTGAACAGGTTGACAAAGGAGTCCGTTCGGGAAAGGTGTTTCAAGAAAATGTGAAATCTGACCATTTTGGGGCAGTCATGGCTGTTGAAGATACAGTCAAAATGGTGAGCTTTTGTAGGGACTAACTAAACAGTTAATAAATGTTAAAGTATGGATGGAATTTTGCCTTTGGGATGAATACGATATGACGAGTAAGGATCATGCAACTGCTTTTCTCTCAAAACTTCACAGATACGTTGAGGAACTGTCGTTCACTTCATCTACTACCTAGGCAACATCCCTGTGTCCAGTGTGCAGGAATTCCATTAAGGTACGTGTGCTGTCCTTAACCCTAACACTCCTCAATCCTTCACCTGTCGGAGGACTGAGGAGTGTTGGGTTAATGCTCTCTAGGAATCAGCCGTGCAACTCTTCCTCGGATCAGCTGATTTCCTCATTTTTATTTACACTCATGCCATTGAAAATTGAAAAACTCTATACAAAGTCTTGCAAAGATTGTAATTTCCTAATTTTTTTGTCAGAGTCCAATGCATGCCTGAGGAATAATTCTAAACTTGAATTCGTGCTTAGTCAATGGTTTTCTGGAAATTAGGGATTATAGAACCAGGGAAATCTGTCAAAGAGTGTGTAACATGCAGAGAGAGCAAAGTCAACACCAATTACTACACCTGTGTGTTTTTCCCCCTAATTGTTAGGTTGCTTAGATGTACGTCTTCAGCATCTAGTTCATCCGTGGTTAAGCGTGAAATGCCAACAGGTACATAAGTGATATCGTTTTATCAACACTTGACTGCTCTTTCAATGATATGCAAGCTAAGCTTTGCTCTCTTAAAGTGCAATAAAACCCAAGGTGGATTTTTCTGACTACCGCCTGCTCCACTTCCTCCACTCCACCCATCCCCCCCACCCCGTAGATGTCATCCAGAGGGTTGAATCCGAGATCCAGTCCTGCCCCAGTCGACTCTTTGCCATCGTACACCTCGCCGGCCAGCAGTTCAAGGTCACCCCTCATGACCTCATTCAGATCCAGCAGCACATAGTGGCTGACGTTGGTGAGAGAATCACCCTCAGAAAGGTGGGACTTGGACTGCTCAATTTGTGGTTGGGTGATATTCCAATTTTTAACAAAGTCCTGAACATCCCCTCTACCACTTTAGTTCCATTTTTGAAATTTCAGTTTGTGGTTGAATAGGCAGTAGTCCGATCCATTAAGCCCCGCCCCATTCTGCTCTGACCAATCACAGCTGTGATTTATGTCCGACATGCGAGCAAACGCATATGTGTGTAGTGATGTAGTGCAGCATTAGCAGAAGACAAAGCGTTCAGTGGGCGGGGCTTATTTCTGACCACTCACAGCAGTGATCGGGCGGGGCTCATTTCTGACCAATCACAGCTGTGATTTATGTCCTGACATGCATGCACAAAAGTCTGGCAGAGGGCGCAGCTTACTGGATCGGTCTATTTCTCTGAGGTCCTTAGAGCATAAGCTCGAACAATAAAGCCATTTGCTCTGTTGTAAAATTCATTATTTTCGTATTTCTTCTCAGGTGTTGCTGGTCGGTGGGGACAACTTTACTCTCTTAGGAAGACCACTCCTAAGGTATAAACCTTCCAACATTTCAATTGTTAATCTGGTTAGTGTGGAAGAAAAATATGCTTGCATCTGACTTTGAATATACATGTGTCTTAGATAAAATGTTCACTCAATTATTGCGCATTCATTTACATATTTTTGTAATCAAATATTCAGAAATGAAAATAATGAAAGGGAAAAATTTCAATTATTTTATCACAAAATAACAGTCTAAGAGCATATCTTAAGGGTTACAAGTGATGCACTGCCCAACAAGACCAAGAAATCGACCTTCTGGTTTTCCTATTTTCTTAGTTTTGGCTGGGACTGGGGGCATAAATCCCCAGTTGGGACTGAACACCAGCTGGACTCCCAACCTCCTCCTAAAACTAGGGGACAGACCCCTGTCCTAAAACTCAGAGGCACACCATAACGTAAAGATATTTTTTTTGTATTTTTGTGGAAATTCTAGCATAACTTTATATTTGATTGAATGGAAGATCAAATATTCAGGTAGTAGAATTGACTCGGCCTCAGGAGACTGACAGTTGATTCAACTGAATGGTCTTGTTTTTCCTCCACCAGTCCAGAGAAGGTGAGAGTGGAAGCTACAGTCATCGAGAAAACCAAGAGCCAGAAGATTGTAGTCTTCAAGATGAAAAGAAGAACGCGGTACCGCAGATATTATGGTGTGTATGCAATCGTTATACATTGTATGAAGTCCAGGCTGATTAAATGATTTTGTTTTGTCTAGAAGGGTTTATTTCATGTGGGTCAGACCAGCAGATAATGAAGGCTTCGGTGCACACCCCCACCAGCAAAACCTCGCCAGCACCCAAATACGTGGTTCTGGGATAAAAAATTTGATGAAGTTTCACATGTTCCGTCAAGTTATGTTCTGAACGGTTTTAGTGACGGATGATTTTGAAAATTCTCGCATTCCCACTAATCATGTTTAAAAATCTGACAGAAAGTAGTCAGGCCGTTGTCACGGCAAGCACTTTCTTCCCGCTCCTTTTCGCAGAGAAATACGCCAGTCTGTCTGTGCTGAGGATCAACAGCATTGAAGTGGCGCCTAAAGTATCCTAGCAGTCGGGACGCTCGGATGGCTTGGGGGCCCTCGGATGGCTTGGGGGCCAAGGCTTCCATCCAGCTGTAGCAGAACGGACAGAGTTCACGTCGCGCTCAAAGCTTGGCAGAGAGAACTGCTGGGAAAACGTTTAGACGGGCCTGGTTGCCAAGCACCCACCCTTCACTTAATGAGGCAGTGCCTCATCTACTCTTGTGGCCAAGGTTACGTGTCCGTTATACACATGTATTCATATCCAGTTTTGAATGAGTGGTGTAAACTCTTGAAGAGTTTGTCATGTGCTTCATTTTTGGGAAAGGAAGTAAGGAACAAAATGATCAGCTTGGAGTGTAGTACGTGTGTTTTTTCTGTAATTTTACACTCATAAATATTTTCCAAACGGGAAGTACTGAAGGGGGGATATCTTGCCTTGCTTGATATCTCTATTGTGCTGCTAGTTTTAAGTCATTAATTATGGAATCTGTATAGAAAAACAGCTAGTTGAGGCCAAATGGAAACTAACTTCTTGTCATTTATACCCTCTCTTGGTGTGGAGTGATTAATTTTATGCTCAACTGGGTGACAAGTCTCTCAGTTAAAGGCCGGTTCATACTTCAGGCAAATGTGGAGGCGTAGCGAATTTGACGTCATGATAACTTTGCAGTGAAAGTTTGCCCAAGTTGAAATATGTTTAACTTTTTGTGAATTTGCAATGCAGATATTCTGATCCTGACGCCATCAATTCGCATTTGCGCTCGCTTTCGCGCGGAGCATGAACCGACCTTAACACTTTATCACTGCAGTGATGAAGCCGAGTCCTTTCACACGACCATTCACAAGTAACAGATTGAACAATGATACGAGTATACCTTCATCGTAGTTCATTTTAATAGCTTGTGACGTCGTTTAAGACCGATGACTTGTTACGGACGTGTGATTGTGGGGACTTGTGATTGACTCAACTACAAAACTGCCATGCTGTACAGAATACTGGCAGACAATTTGTAGGAATAAATAATGAGAAATGTTTAACTTTCAATTTTACTGAGTAACTGTAATAAACTTGGGAAGGAATACATTTCTATTGCATTTTGTTTGCATGTCAAGCCTCAATACAAACAATTATAGTTTTAATAAAATGTGTTCTTCACTGGGTTATTGAAGTGAAGACGGCATATTTCATTGTTACAGAATACAAAATATTTTTCGTGTAATTTTCAATAATTTTTGATAAAGATATGTGTTTTAGACATAAAGTTGGTTTCCAAAAATAGATTCAGTGTTCAAGTGACACTTCATTGTTTACAATAACTTTGCTTAAAGTGATTTTGTTTCAAAGATACAGTGTGTTTTAACCCTGACCTTCCTCAATCCTTCAAAATCCTTCAGGCAGTTTTGGAGGATTTTGGAGGATTGAGGGTGAATGGCAAGGTCTTGGATTAGACCTTGTGTTGTTTTTGCTTTGTCAAGCACAAATTCAGCCTGATGTTGCTTTGGAATCAACCGCAAAGCTCATGAATACCATTCGCACCGCCTCAACCTAATGACAGGAAATGCCGGAGGATTTTGAAGGATTGAGACACTAGGTACACCTCTGAAAAACATTCTCAAGAAATTTTGGAGGATTGAGGCTGAACGCAATTATTTCATGTCGAAAATCGGAGGATTTTGGAGGATTGAGGATGGTTCCTACTAACTACGCCTAGGGAGTTGGGGATAAAGATTGAAAACAAATAAGGCTAATCAGGCTTATGAAAAACAAGAAAATATGGCATATATTTAATATTTACCATTCCCAGATGTTTAAAGTGATGCCTCACAAATTTTGTTAACTTCAGGAGCCCACGTGCAATCAGATTTGGTTGTCTGGCCAAGAAAACTTTCAAGGAAATATACACTGAAAACGACTAAAATGGCAAGGCTCACAATACTGCCCCTCTTTTTACAGAAGAGCGGGACCCAAATGTGGAAGAAATGCCACTCATTCTACCACAGTATCCTCCATCAGCTTCCTTAGTATGTCAGTGTCACACCTGATCACCACTTTGACCTCCGGCCCCAGTGGCAAGCCCTCTGTGTTCTTGACCCTCCGCACCATCTGACCTCGGGTGACCCGGCCCTGCAGCTCCACCATGACCGGGCAGGTCAGCGCTTTCAAGATCATTTCGGGCCGGAGGGCCACGGCCATGGCCAGGCCGTCGCACACTCTGAACACCTTCTCGTGACTCTTCAGGTAGGTCAGGAACCGACCATGGAGGATGGCCGACACAAACTTGGCCTTGGCAGTCGGGGTGCTTGACCATACCTCAAACCAATCCTGTGACGTGAAAAGAGCAAGTGTCACTTTGCCACAGGTGGCGAATGTAATGGATTAACCATATGCTGCCTGGGTCATCCATTTTTGTCATATTTTTCACAATCACGTAAAAAATACCCTTTCCTCTGATTTCCCCTCTTCCCAAAGCATATGCAAGAGAAGGGTTAACAAATACCGCACTGATCTTTTTCCAAGTTTATGGAAGCGCGCACACTGCATAGGCTGCAAATCCCCTCCCCTCCTAGCATGTGTTCTGTGCAAAAAACCTGGATGACCCCTTACCCAAGGCAGTCCATTCTGAAGGCAGGTCTCCCATGCCACAATGACGGTGGGACACTGGACGTCACTCAGCAGTATGTGAGCAGCTTCGGGGTCTACGTGGAAGTTGAACTCTGCTGCGTCTGTCTCGCTCCCTGATCCTTTGGAAAGAAAAGCAAGAAACATCAACCCACACATCTAAACTTGTTCCAGTGGCACAGCATCGGTCGTGAGAGGGTGTTAATCCCAATATTTGTAGTAAGTGCCCCTTTTACCCGATCAGTGGCCCTTTCCCACTATAAGTACCTTTTTCACAAGTGCACCTCTTGTCCAGTGGACTTAATTAATGTTGCATTTTAACAAGCCTTTTGCGAATTAACATCACTGATGCCTACTCCACACCTGATGCTTGAAAACAATCACAAGTATGCAGCGCGTTGCTCCATAAGATACTGTTGCTAGTTGAGGGCGCCCTCTTTTGTCAATGCACATACATATAGCCTATAAACTAACCTGAAGCGATGTAATTAGTGTGGTGATACCCATCGGGTAGCAGAACAGTGGAGGGCTGGGTAGTTATTTTGCCCCCGCTGTGAGTGGTACCATATACACATATACCCATGAACTTGAAACCCTATCGGCCATGAGTTGAGGCACTACCTCACCGGCAAAGGAGAGACAGGCCGGGTGGGAAGTTTTCCCAGATGGACTCATTCATTCGGAAGACAAAATGATGAAAAATATTCTATAAGTCTGAATTAATCTGGATAAGGGACAAGCTCACAAAATACTGGTCGGCCATTTCAGACTCCCTAAAACTACAGGCTCGGATTTGTAGACTTTCCTTTCAGATGAGTGACACTCTGACCTTATGGGCATACATGCTTGGCTAGACCAGTCCATTACCCTCTGTGTTGCCTCCCATGATTACCAGCTTCTTCAGTCTACCGGTGAATCCCGGATCCAGTCGTATGGCCAGAGCTAGATTGGTCAGTGGTCCGATGGCTAGCATGGTCACTTGACCAGGGTGCTCTTTGGTCAAGCGAAGCATGGCGTGGACGGCGTGCTCTGATTGGACCAGATCGAGACTGGGAGGGTCTGGGTCGGGCACACCCCCTAGGCCATCTGAACCATGGACGTCATGTGCTCGTTTGTTGTGGAGATTCAGCAAGGGCACATCTGCACCTTTGTACACAGGAACCTGGATTTAATAAAGATTTTTATAGCGGACCTTGAATTAGTTTTAAAAGAAATCAATAGAAAACGAAAAAAAAAAGATCTGTAAAAGCCGAGTGAGAACCTTTAAAGGGATTAGGGGATGAAGTTTCTCCAGACACTTTTATTCAATTTTAACATTCTTCTTAAATATCTGAAATTATTTTGACATGCTTTTGGAGTTTTCCTTATATGAAAACTGTATTTTTTATGCCCTGCTTTTCTGAACAACAGAGGGCGCTGTTGCTGTGATGTCAATCAAGGAAGCCACTACCAAAGATCGTATAGCGCCAAAGGCGCAAGATGGATAACTCTGCCTAAAAGGTGTAATCACCATGGGCGCCATTTGAGCGAGCGATACGCCTGCGCGGTTTACAATAATGCTTCGGCGCAGGCTCACCAGGTGCACGTGCCTGCCGCGGCACCAGCACCTAAGCAGTAACGTGCATTGCGCAGGCGTATGGCTTGCTCAAATGGCGCCTATGCGATTACAACGTTTTACGTGAATTCGCGGTGAAGTTCTCCATCTTGCGGCACTACGCGGCGCTGTACGATCTGTGGCCACTACTGGGTTACGGTTCTGTTACAACTGTGCAACCAAAATTTGCTCATTGAAAAGATTTTTGAGAAGGGGTTGCTTGTTGCCATGTGCTCACACCAATGAATCAACAGTAAAAACAAAATTCGGAACAGCAAAATACCCAAAATTCTGGCAGTTTCTTGCATGTATTAATGCAGCAGTGATGACATCAAGTGTTTGCCCGTCAGTTAGTATAAAATCCAATAAGGAATAAAAAACACCTTAGAAATAGCACAATTACAATTGAAAATGAAATTAAAACAAACGTGCATTATCGAACTGAAGTAAAAGACAGCATTGTATAGACCCTTCAAGACAGGAGTTTGGTTCTGCAACAATAAAGCATTTTTTTTAGTGACGTACAGAACTAATGCAAAATGTCACTCTCGGGCACAATCAAGCAGCACAAGTATAAATGGCTTAAGACTGACTGACCCTTTCGGCAAGGCAGGATTAAGTTCAACTTCACACTTACATCCAACCTGTCACAAACTCTTAGCACCCTGAGAGCGTTGCGCAGCACATTATCCAAGTGCGTGTTCCCAGCAACACATGTGATGGCTAGTAAGTCGACACTGGGCTGGGACAAAGCCATCATGATTGCTATTGCGTCGTCGACACCTGGGTCGCAGTCGATCATCATCGGTAGCTTCTCCGCCATTTTATGTCCTGACAAATATTACCCAGCCTCCTACTAGGTATACCAAGATAAAGAAAGCGTGGCAAAGTTCAGTTGAGCAACTTCATATCAGCTAGGCCTAGTCCAAATTGCAGAAATCAGAAAAAAACACCTAAAATATATAATATCGATTTTGATTACTGAAGATGAAGTGCATAGTTTGCAGCCATTTGGTAGCATTTTTATCACATGAACAGTATGAAAAATAGTCAGCGCTTAACAATAACAAGTCAACTGACCTCCAGGAAAAATTCTACAGCCTAGCTGAGGGCTCTGGATTTGCTTAGCACTCTGGTTCACTTCGCTCGCACGACAATCAAGTACAGATTTACACTTTGGGAAGATGCCACGTATATTTCGCTGACCTCCAAAATTGATCAGGCAATTAGTGCTGGCTCTCGATTTCGATTAAACGCTACCGACTTTAGGCCTTATTCCTCTATGTGTCAAGTACACGATGTACCTATCTCGTCGACCGCACCATGTGCCCTTGATTGATTAACCCGCTTGACCCGGCCGGCGGTACCGGTACCGGGTACCCAGCTCGACCTTGAGACATAAATAGCCAATTGATAGCGCCCTCAGCCAATCAGAAAAAAAAGCGCTTTATTATATTCAACTCACGGTTTGAAGGTGACGGCTGATTACTGCAGATACTTGACAAGATTTCGTTCGAGTTTTGTTGTCGTACTGATCAAGAAATGATTTAATACTGAACATACCGTGAAAGTGAAACGTATATCAAAGTATAAAGGGGGTGGAGTTGGACAGAACTAGACAAAAGTAGACCACGATCGTTTTAATTGCTTGCCCACTTCTTGAAAATGACAAAAAGATTTCCAGAAGAGTTAGCTTTACTTTAGGATTGTTCTAGTTTGAGTTGCTTTATTGGTCAAGTTTTCAATTGTTGGAATTATTTCAGACACTATCCACTAAAATGGATTATACTAAAAAACTTAAATGCTGTTCATCAAACGGAACGTCCCTTGTTTTCAACCTGCGAATTAAAAAACACAGCAAACAGGTCTGCTAAGTTACCATCCTGCAGAAATTTATAACCACTGTGGAGAAATAGCTGATGCAGCAAGAACATACTACTCCGCAATGCTAGATGCACTGTCATAATAGTGGGAAATGCATCCAACACAACTTCTCACCCCCAATATAACTGTGCCGTGATTCCAGTCAAATCTAGGTTATTCATGCTGGTTTTAAACACTACAACAGGAAACCAACAGCCACTGTAAAAGTGTCCGCAATCACCACAACTAGACAACTGTCCCTGAATGGTGTTTCAATTGTTTCAATTAAGGTTGGTACCTACTTTGTTAAAAAAAGGATTAACAGCCTAGCATGATTCCAAAAGACTTAATATAATGACAGGTATAAATGAAATAACTACTACACAAAATGTTTCTATGCAAGCACTGATTGAAAACTCGCTCATTAATGCTTGAAACGAGTAACAAATATTTGGAAATATTTGGGGATAATGACCTAAACTCTTTTTCGTATGAAGTAGAAAATGGTGTTATGAATGCAATTTAAACTACATGCACTTGTAAATAACCTTTTCAAAAAATTTTCATTACCTTTGAAAACACCACATACCAGTATCATTTCGAACACAAAGAATTACATGTTGAAGTAACAAACGTTGAGACATACACACTTGACAATAACTTTTTGATTTTCTAATTGAAAAATGCACTTAGTGAACGTTTAGCAATTTCTCAGCTTTACCTCCCAAGTGAGGGTGCTCTTGATGTGATGCCTTTACAGGAAGACACTGTTCAGTTTGGGACGTTTTCTGATAAAATCGTGAACGCCAGACTTGCTTTTTTGGAATGATCCGTGAGGAAACATTGGTCCCCGGCCTACTGCCATAAATGGAAAATAAAAACAAATCTGGGAAGAAAACAAAATACTGGACTGCAAAATATCCCAAATTCTGGCTAATTTCAGTGCAGAAATAACTGTAATGATGAGCTTTTCTGCCATAAACGACATCACAGTTTTGCTCATACATATGCAAATTTGCATCATTGCAAATATGAAAAGGGTAACAAGCTGCCCTCTAAATAGTAAAAACAAAGTGGAGAACTCATGTTAATGGGAAAATGCAGAGCAACTAAATAAACTGCACTGAAAAATGACACTGCACGAGCACTTTGAATACAAAGTGTATATCTTGTTGACACACAGATGGCACACGTTCTTCTGCACCGTAGTTGTGGGGACGTACATGCTCACTCGGTATTTCACCTATTTTCTGGGGACCAAAAGCTGTCTGACGACAAAGAAAGATGTCCCCACCACTCAGTCCAAATTCGCCTAACAAAAGAACTTATCTCCTTAACACAAGAACACGTCCCCTTAACGTGGTGAATGCCTGCCCAAGTAGGCTCAACAGCAGTGTCACTAATCGGTGGCTTTGTCACACATAGCGGCGAAGATGTCTGTGTCACACTTCTTCACGACCTCCACCGTGGGCCCCACTGCCAGCCCCTGGACGTTCTTGATGACTGGGACCATCTGGCCGCGGGTGGTTGTCCCTCTCAACTCCACGTGCACAGACATCCGCTTCGATTCCATCACCGCGCTTGGGTTGACGGCGGCAGCCATGGCAAGTCCATCGCAGAGGATCAGGTTCTTTGATCTGAGGGTGTTCTGCAAGCGAGAGACGAACTCTCTGAGGATTGCGCTGACAAAGATGGCTCTTGGGCTCTGCTTCGCTATCCATGCGTCAAACCACTCCTGTGTCGCAAAAAAAGGGAGAAATCCTCACTTGACTTTATCAAGATCTGAAAAACCAACAGTAGGTTAGGTTTGTGGATTTGTTGCTCTGCTGAATAATTTACTTTGCTGCACTTCCCTGCTTTTTACATACCATGGAAAAAACTATTAATGACAAAAACATCACCCAAAGATTGACCCTATTATTAAAAAAACGGATACTTTCGAGCATAATAATCCTCACATGAAATCTGATTCTTTCAATGTTACTTTTTACAGACTCATTATTTTGTATACTGTGCCAGGTAGTGCGAAGCATGTGACTTGTATAATGCAATGAAAATGGTTCAATAAAAAAATATAACGAACACTAACGTGTAATGTGTAGAAACAATTAACCTGATGAAATGTTTGTAAGAACTTGAGTTCAAGACAGCTTCCTAACACAAAAAAACGTGATCCTTACCCAGCTCAGTCCATTTCTCAAGCACGTCTCCCATGCTACGACCACTGTTGGACACTGGACACTGCTCAGCACAATGTGAGCTGCCTCGGGGTCCGCAAAGAAATTGAACTCGGCTGTGTCAGTTATGTTTCCATACCCTGTGCAGAAAATAGAAGACAACATGATGAAAAATACTCTAAAAGTCTGAATTAATCTCGATAAAGGACTAGCTCACAAAAATAATGGTCGGCCATTTCAGACTCCCTAAAACTACAGGCTCGGATTTTTAGACTTTTCTTTCAGATGAGTGACACTCTGACCTTATGGGCATACATGCTTGGCTAGACCAGTCCATTACCCTCTGTGTTGCCGCCCATGATTACCAGCTTCTTCAGTCTACCGGTGAATCCCGGATCCAGTCGTATGGCCAGAGCTAGATTGGTCAGTGGTCCGATAGCTAGCATGGTCACTTGACCGGGATGCTCTTTGGTCAAGCGAAGCATGGCGTGGACGGCGTGCTCTGATTGGACCAGATCAAGACTGGGAGGGTCTGGGTCGGGTACACCCCCTAGGCCATCTGAACCATGGACGTGTTGGGCATTACTTTTGCTGCTGAGATTTAGCAACGGCACACCTGCACCTCTATACACAGGTATCTGGATCAAACCACCAAAAAACAAAACAAAACAAAACAAAAAACATTCGGAAAAGCATCCGGATTTAAAAAAAATAGGATTCAGGAAATTTTTCAAAGATGGTTGCAATCATTGGTGTTCTAACTGTTTGAAGGCACAAAAGAATCAAAGGTATTTGTTGTGGTTTTTATGGTTTGTTTAGTACATTAGCAAGATGGACTCATAAATTAAAACACTTCCAGTGGCGTGTTCAAGTTGGTGGCCATGGCAAAGTCACTTGGGCCATAATGGCAGAAGTGTCCAATGATTGCAGGGTCGGCTGTATGATTTGGAAAGTAACGGGCTAAGTCTGAAGAAGTGTGGACTCACAAGGGTTTTATTTTCAGACCAATTGGATTTATGCATTTTTTCCTTCCCACCCCCCCGAAGAAATATCAAAAGATCCAGCTGGCCTGAAGAAACAGCAAGCAGGTGGGGATGCCAGACATGTTCTTTTTTACTTTTCTAAATGAAAAATTGAAGAGGACCTCAACAAATTTAAAATTGAATTGGAAGAGAAGGGAGGTTTTTATACACAACTGCACAGTCTAAGTGAGACGTCCGAAGTGCATTTGCAGTGAAAAAGTTTCAGATCAAGCTGAATGAGTGAATGGAAATTTTACTTTAGAAGGCATCAAGATTGAAGAACAGTCTTTGATGGGAACATTGTTGGTAGGTCAGGCAGTAAAACTTCACACTTACATCCAGCCTGTCACAAACTCTCAGCACCCTGAGTGCATTGAGGAGCACATTTTCTAGGTGTGTGTTCCCGGCAACACATGTAATGGCTAGTAAGTCTACACTGGGTTGAGACAGAGCCATCATGATGGCTACGGCATCATCAATGCCTGGGTCGCAGTCGATAATCATCGGTAGCTTCTCCGCCATTTCAACAGACCGTCTGCAGGTTAAACCAGATAAGACAAAATGTTACAAAATTCCCTGAACTCATTTCACTTACCATGACACTTTTGTGCTTCCAAAACATTCCCATTTCTCTGCTCATCTGACTTGCTAGGATTCTTCATTGCGCTTTTGGACGGTCATTTTGCTCCATTTCCACTTAACCTCGTGTCACTTCCCCCCCAAGGACGACCAGTCCTTTGTTGAATGATGAAGCTTTCATGAAACAAAGCTACACCTTGGCACTGTGACATGGATTTATTTAGGAGTGGTTACTGATTTGTCACATAAAAAAAATCAAGCACACTGACAATTTTTGCCAACACAAAAGTTTAGGCGAAAGAAACAGTTTTGCTTTGCTGGAGAAAACCACATCATCAGGCAATGCAAGACAACGACGATCAACCCCAAAAGTGATATAAACAGTGTATCAATCAACCAAAGAGTGCACACAGCTCTTTGGTTTGGATAACCAATTTTGATCAAATTCTATAACTCCACTTTATATGGTTGAGGAGCATTAACTTCCCCATCTGCATTAAAAGAATAAGAAAAATTTGTTCCTTGACCGCATGACTTCAGCATGGTCTACACTTTTTTGGTTGGGATTACCACAGTCATCGACCTTAGACGTTGGCCCTTAAACCTTTTGAGTTTAAAACTGACAGTGTGACTCCACAGTGAAGACTATAAAAATAAAGTTGAAAAAAAAAAGTCTATGTTAGTCTTGCTTAACTAAAACAATAACCGGCGGGCTAGTGAAAATTCCTGCAGGGTGGGCTGGTTAAAAAGCTTAAGCTCGAGGCCTGGATTACCATATTTTTTAGCCTTTACAAAAAGAATTTCATACATAGACACCACTTATTTTCCCCTGCAGTTGTTTGTTAGCCATAAGAAAGCCATAACATGTTCAAAAAATTCATATTCAGCAGGGGAAATATTGAAGAGTTTACCAAGAAGAAGTAAAAAAAAAAATTCAGTCCAGCCTCAGGGTTTGTGCACAGGTGTCAAGTAATGTCCAAACACAGACCTTTTTACCAAATTCTTTGGCAAGTTCCCTTACCGGGAACTTGTGACTTGGTTGGGTAGACAAACGTGCGCTGCATCTGCCTGGGTAAAAACTGAAAGATAATCGTGGATCACATACTATCATGATGTAGACCATGGTCATACACGGTCAGATGGTGGGGCAAAGTGGTCTAAATACAAATTGCCTTTTTAAAACATTTGGACATAGTTGGGCGATATGTTCAAAAAGGCGATTTGTAGAGTCCATGTTACTCAAACTAGGACTAGTGGGGATGGGGTACAGTGGAAACGGGCTTGACCCCAACACCTATCACTGGGGCTCCTGGTAGTTTGTACACTGTTGTACTGTACTACTAGCCTACATAGCTTCTGCTAGATACTGCAAACAAACTCCACTAATGGGATTCTTAGGGGAGTCAGGTTGGCAAGGTAGTTCTTTCCTCGCCTTCCACCTCTGTGGTCCCGGGTTCGAATCCCGGCCCGGTCCACAAGTGGATTGGGTTTTCAGTCCTTACCTGACTCTGTGGGTTTTACCCAGAATATTCCTCTGGGGTTTTCCTCCCACCTCTAAAACTGTAACTGCTTCTTACTGTCTCCCCTTTACTGTTGTTGGTGAATATGGGTCATTTGGCGGCTGCCTGAGGTGCCCTTGTATGCCATCGGCTCCACCATGTTTTAAATGTATTCATTGCTCCACGCTTAATGTCTTCATTGTACAGCGCATTTGAATATATCTATATGAAATTTGCGCTTTAAAAATGAATAAATTATTATTATTATTTATTATTATATGCTGCATATAACTTAGCTAACTTGTAGAAGGAAAAAAGGGGCAAACATTGCCATTTTTTTCCTTCCCAAAATGCCTTTCTACAGTTGTGCAAAATCAGCCATACTGTTTAGCGATACGGCTTACGCCCTAGTCCCCCGCGAACATGGCGAATACCCCTAGAACTGTAAAGTCATGGAGGTCCAACGTTCGCCAAGCTCGTGGGAGCGGGGCGGAGTCGGACCCCACAGTCACCGACAGTTCTGGGCCGGGGGTACCCCGCGAAATAAATGCAAAATAATCTGCCGATACAACATTGGCGTAGAAGTTAACTCACTCACTGGAACTTGGAAGAAAGACAGCGCGTGTTTTGGTCTGGAGATTAGAAATTAGAGATGAAGTATTTCTTTCATTTTACTGGCCATTTACATGTACATGTACCATTAACGTACCTGGGATTGTCGTTGATAGGAACATAGAGCTACATTTCTCTATGATAGGAATAGCCACCGCGATTACCAAAAAAAAAAAAAAAACAACAAAAAAACAAGGCACAAGTCTCGCACAAACAACTTTAACTATGTTACGACCCAACCATAGCATCAGTCCCAACTATAGTTGGGCCCGTCCCAACTAGAGTGCTACAGTTGGGCCGGCCCAACTACAGCAGAGAGCTCCTGTGTGTATGATGTGCCCAGCATGTGCCCAAGTCATATTGTTTACAAACGTCATGTCATTGGTCATAGGGCAAAGTGCCACATTTTTGATGAATTGTGTCAAGTGTGAGACACATTGACTTGGATAATGTTGAGACATTCCCCACAGACATTGGTCAACAATAGTTGGGCCAGCCCAACTGCAGCACAACAGTTGGGATTGTCCCAACTATAGTTGGGACTTAGCTATAGTTGGGGCGTAACAACTGCAGTTAAAACAAGACTTAATAATAGTATAGTACGTGGACTTCAAAATCGCAAACAAAATTTGCGTGGTTGACGCACAATACCTATCTAACTATTATATGTTACGCCGGATACCAGTGAAGGTTTGTGTCAGAGGTCACTTTAAATGGCCTTTCCCTTATTTTTGATTGGTCAATTATGCAGCGAATGTAAGAATTTGATTGGCCGATTCGAAAGAACTACAACATGCGGCAGATTTAACGTGTTTTTTGTGATGGGCCTAGCAC